TCCATGTTTCCTTCTGCTCCAGTTCCTGCAACTAGCCCTTAAGCTAAATACAATTTGCAATGAGTATTGTATATAGGTGCTAGGACCAGTAACCACCAGAGTTACCACTTGGATTGTTATTAATAGTCAACTGGGAGGGTTGAGGTACCAGGAAGAGTGGTGCAGAGCTAGGTGGCACAGTTTTAATATACTGACAAGCATAATATAGACAAGTAGTAATTAGACTAATCTGTCTATAAGATGGATAATCAGGTAGATATTGAGGCCATAGAGTAGAAATTGAGAATAGTGGTTGATGAGAACATGGTAAGAGGTCTTGAACTTGGACATGTAACAAAGATGCAGTTGGCAGTGGAGATAATTTTTGTGGGGATAGATAAGGTAGAAGGTCTTTGAGATAGATATGAGAAAAGGTAGCAATTAGAGACAAGAATGGTCATTACTGAGAGTGAGTTCATACTTAAGGGAACTCAGAGAATGACATTCTAATTGAGATATATGGTTATTCTAAATCTACAAGGCCTGGTATGTATTTTGCATTAGAATTATGTAGACTATAATGTGAGTGATCACATTTATGTCTCTCATCTTTATCTCTTGTCTTATCCCTCTGCCCATCTCCTGTACTTGACATTAAACTAGAGCTATCTTTGTCTCTATTTTTATTGTTAGCATTATCTTGATCACTATTATGGATATTGTCATTGTTATCAAACTTGTTGTCTGATAGGACTGGGAATGATTGAGGTATGTATGTGTATGGTGATATTATTTTGCTAGATGCATAGTCTAATTCTATGAAAATAGTGGTGTTGTAGGGGTGAATACCAGCCTTTCTAAAGGCTAACAAAATATATGTGCTATAGAATGATTCATTATACACATACATATGGTGTCTGACAAGTTTGGTTTATAGTATCTCAACCAGATTCTCATTGATGTATTTGGTGGCATTGTTGTACCAGTTACATTAAAGCTTCCTAAAGATGCCAGCATCTAGGGATTGTAGTTTATAGGTAGTATGAGAAAGGAAGCACAAGATGTGGATATTGTGTGCTTTCACAAGGACTCATATCTCACTAATGATATAAGATCCATGGCCATCTATAATAAGCAGGATTGACCACCTAAATGTATTATATGCCTTTGCCTAAGAAATAAATATTTTCTTAAAATATTTCTGATAGAGGAAGTTGTCAGTCCATCTATTTTTGGATATTCCAATACTATATTTGTGGATATGAGTGGTGCTTTGGCAACATAATAGTTAGACTTGACATACCTTGCCTCAATGTTACCATCAATCTACTATTTGGGTAAGAACTCCTTGTCTTTGAAGACAAAACTAGGGCTAAGGACAGTGCCATCTACAGAAATAGATTCAATGAATGTGATAAGTTTGAGGTTGTTGTTGCAAAATTTGTAGTATGGCCAGCATCACTATAAAATAAAATATTTCATCTGCTGTATTTTGTACCCTCTGCCATACTACACATCTTTCTTATCCATGTTATATATTTTTTTCCTAAGGAATACTGTACTCTTCAATAATCTCAAGTAACAACTTATAATAATCCTGTACTAAACTAGGCAGAGATCTTCTGTGCACACACATTAATAAGATAATAGAATAGAATAAGACTGCCTATTTTAACAACCTTAAGGGTAACCCAATCAAAGGTTATCTTGAAACTATTTGAGAAAGCTTTAGTATTACTTTCTTGTTAGCCACTTCCTACATATTGCCTCAACTTCCTTCTTTATGCTCTTTTCATACAATAGCTATCTAGTATCAGCAAGATAATTAGTCTATATCTGAAAAAACCTCCTCTCTTAATTAGATATAATTATTCAAAATGCTAATCTGAGCTAATTAGAATATATTATTCATAATCAACTTTATAATCAAATCTGCAAGTAAAGGTGATATTGTCTATACTACTATAGTCTCATTGGAATCTACAATCCAATGATAATTTTACACATCCCAAATCCAAATTGTGTAAGTGCTACAATTTTATTTTTACTGTCTACTTTATTTTCTATTAGTTTACTATATTATTGTCTAGTGCCCAAATTCAAATATCAAAAGCCCTGATTTTTAGGGCATTTATTGACCCTTTTATATATAAAATAGATGAAAGATAAATGTGTAAGAAAATTAGAAATATTGAGATTGCCTCATTTATATCAATGTAATTAGGTCACCATATAATTAAATTAGATTATGTAGCTCAGTAGTTTAGAGCACTAGCATAGGATATGTAGGCATGAGGTTGTTGGTCCAATTCTAGTAATGGGCAAGTTTACTATAAGATATGACTTTAGTTTGATTAGTAAGCTCTATACATACTCTATGATTGAAGGTGCAGTAAAATAGAGAAATTATATGAGTAGGTTAGTTGATATTTTTCCAAAAATCCATATAATAAATTAGTTTTAATTAGCTCTAATTAGACCTTATAATTTTAGGATCAAAAGAAGAGTAAACTAAGAATATTTAATGTTAATTATCAAAAATCTACCTATATTTATGCTTAACTATGGTTAATTTAATGTGGAGCTTTTTTCTAATAGCCAATCTTAAAGAGCACCCTCTTTATAAGAATCAAGAAGACAACAAGTATTATATGTATTATATATAGCAAAATGAAGATGCCACACATGTTTGTGAAGAGTTTGATAAGGGACACTATGTTTCTTCACAACCTTGCAAAGTCTAAGGCTGTTCTTTTCTAGTCCATTCATGGCTGCTTGGATTTGCTCTTCAGTGTACTAGATACAAGGTTTACACTTATTACAAGGAATGCTAGGAGGCTTGTGTTGGCCTATAGTGTGATCGACAAGAAGAAACAGTCTGGGGACAATGTTTGGACATAACTTGTTGTAATGCCAGCCTAGTTGCTGGCAAAACCATGTGCAGAGAATAAATTTGCACTTTTTTTGTCTGACACTCCCTATCTGAATGTCACATATAATACCTTGTTATAAGCCCATTAGCTTACAACACCAATCACAACCTGCTCACTCCCATGCTTACTAATGATGAGCATAGATATGCTCTAGGCACTAATACCTCACTTTTTGCAGCTTTTCAGTATTCTTTGACTATTCAGCATACTTAGGACCAACCAATCCCAATCTATTTAGTGCTCTTAGCCATTTATCAGGTGCTGACTTTGCATTTAGACCTCAACATAGTTATTCAGAGCTGTTCACAGTTATTCTATGCATTTATTAGTACTCTCAGCATTAGGGGCTCCCCAGACTATCATGGCCAATCACTGATTAGTTTAGTATGCTTCACATTGTTAGCACGTTTGGTTAGCTTTGATGCCTTGAATCAGAGGTGACTAAACACTTTGTTGACTCAGAATGGATCTATCTTTCTATCTCTTATCATTCTTATGCCTTTTATTGATTTATCCTTTGTTATCTTTGAAGCTCCTAAGTTTCTAAATGATTTACCTATGTGGCATATGGTTCTTATCTCTAGGTCCATGTAGACTTACCTTAGTGATTTCTCCACTTATTTAGACTTTAGAGTTATTGCTTCTTATCTTATGGTGTTTGTAACATCACTTTTTTATCTTTTTTACCTTTGACAGCTCTTAGCATGCATTTCCAATTGCTCTATATCTCTGCTAATCTCCCTATCTTGTACCTATTCATAAATAACATCAAAAATATTAAGATTGTTTATATTAGATCTACTTATTGAGATCACTAAGGTAATATGTTAGACTCTGTGGCTTAGTGGCTTAGAGCATTTGTCTTAGGTGCTTGCATATATGAGGTTGTTAGTTCAATTCTGGTATAAGGCAAGTTTATCATAAGGTATACTATATGGTTTAAGTGCTCAATTAGTACTCTAATAAGCATGACTTTATAAAAACTCTAAGAGAACTTTGATACTGGATTTATTCTTATTTTTCCAAAATTTTAAGTTATAATTAATATTAATAATTCCTAATTTAGAAAAATCATATCTAATTATAACAGGATTAAAAGGGGGATAAGCTAAAAGTCTCTAATCCTAATTATTCTTAATAAGGCATTAATAGAACTAATTAGAGCATAATATAAGGAGGTGATTTTCCAGATGTTAGTATGCTCTCTTGTTTATTGTGGCACAGCTGACAGTTCCTTTCATACTAGAACTAGCTCTTGCCTACCTATACTTGTAGAGGTGTTTCTTAAGTGTGTTTTACACTCAGAGGCATTACTAGCATATTACCAAGCCAAACACTTACTTAGACACTTACTTGCACTGCATACACTCATCTTCTCTTGACACTTATCTTTTATAGACACTCGTGCACCAATTTAGGCAGACATATAAATAGCAGAGCACAATGACTACAAACAGCAGCTAATCTACTCCCCCTTTCCCTTCTCTTATGAATAATAGCTAATCCACTCTCTCTTTCCCTTCCCCTTATATAGCTTCCAACCCCTCTATTTTGTCTAAATACACTCAATGTTGTCTTACTATTCCTATCTGATTCTTGTTCCTACTTTTGCTTCTATCCCATCTCTGATCCAGCCTTCTCAATTGAGGCCAAGTGTTGGGTACCTTAGCACCCTTTCACTTTTTTTTTAACATCAACAACTTATTGATTGCCCATCCTGCTACCTCTCTATCCTATCCACTCCACTTTCAATTTACATCCCTTCCCTTATTCTTATATATACATCCTGCTCCTATGATACTACACAGACTATTCTAATTGTTATACTAGAACCTTCTCTTTCCTCTCTCTTCTATCCCTAGTTTTGGTTTCTCTCTTATCTCCTACTCTAATACTATTACCAACCCACTATCCTTGATAATTTTACCTTTTAAAGAGGATTTTTTTTTACATTTTCTACATACCAATTATCCCCCCCTGCTATTCTCTACTTTACCAACCTGTACACATACCATCTACCCCCATTGTTGTATCTTCCTTAGCTTCTCCCCTATTTTCCCCAGCATCCTCTAGCCCTGCTTCCCCATCATGCCATCTAATCACACTATTATAGAGCAGAGTTTCATCTCCAAGGTCCCCATCCTGACCACTAGCCTCATTATGCCTAAAGTATCCACTAATTGGAAATGCTGCACCATCACATACTTTGAAGAAAAATCCATCCTACAAGCAGACTAGGTCCACAAGGTACAATGGGGGCTATAGGACCCTAGCATCTAGACATGGTTTGCCATTGACAGTATGCATTTCTGCACTCTAACATTCAAGAAGTTCATGTTAGAATTTTAGGGTTACTGGCTCAAGCCTGATTGGTGAAACAAGCTGAGCTCCTGCATTCTTACTTCCCAATAAGGTAATGATTCCTTCTAGGACTGGTCTAACAAACTCTAAGCCTTAAACATATAGCTCTTTGGGACCCCTGACTAACTTTAAGACAACACTTTTTATAGACAATTCACTGCTTCCCTAAACATGGAGCTTCATGCTGGAGTAATCTCTGCTGACTTTCCTGCCTTCTTATCTCTGAACAAGTGGATCATTGCAGTCAAACATATCAATAACACATGACTGCATCAAATTGACCATATTTGCATAGAGTATGCATAACTTTGATCCTCCACTATACTCACTTACAGTCTCTGTCCCTCTAGTTCCTTGACATAACCTGCCCCTACTTCTGCAGTACCTTCTGCATGCCTTGCTAAGCTGATGGAGGCCAAATAAAAAAAGCTGTCCTCCAATGATGGCTGCTTTAAATGCCACCACCTCTATGCAGGATATCTGACTAGCTAATGCCTGAATAGCTTCCTGGACCCTTCTACATACTGTGGGCTTATCAGGACAACCAAAGTTACAAAGCCTGCTATAAAGGGCCATATTATTGCTATTCTCCCTGCCTCCCTCTCTGATGTTCTCTCTAATGATAAATCTGATGATGAGATCCCATGTGTCTCTTCTCTGCCTGCATTACAAACTCCAAGTCTTATGTGGGATTGTCTCCTCATGGGTCCAACCCTTGAGAAGCCAATGCCCACATAAGCACTCATTAATGGTGGCTCCTAGTTCATACTAATTTAGGGGTCCCTTGCCCTCTTTGCTGGTCTCTGTCAATGTCCCTTGCCAACCCTAATTCCTCTTGGTCTCACTATAAGTAGGGGTGAAACTTCTGCCACCTTGTCCACTTGTTCTTCTCTTGTCTCCACTATTAATAATATCACTTCCCCTGTCTCTTTCTATGCCTCTTCCTAGGTCAAACTCTTTCTTATCTCTCATAATTGCATCTTTACCTCTTTAATAGTGCACACCCTGGTGGCCCTGATTCTCTATGTATGCCTATAATTCTCAGTGGCCCCTTCTTGGCCCACAATTATATTGTGCCCAACCACTCTATTGGCTCTTGTGTCTCTTGCCCTTCTAATTTTGATCTTTTTGGCCCTTCCTACTCTGTTTCTCCTGTCCTGGTACCTGTTTCCAATCTTGGAGCTTCTATCTTAGCTATCCCTGCTAAGCTTAAGGCACACTTCCTGCTAGTTGCAGCACTGGTTACCTATACTAGCACTATACCTATGCCTGTCAATGTTGGTTTGGCGATCTAGGCTCATATTGTAGCACTTACTCATTCCAAGCAGCTTGCTAAGCTTGATGCTAAAATGCGAGCTAAGTATATTGATCCCTTTTTCTCTAATATTTCACCTATTAATGAAATCCCTACCAATGTTTACTATTGAATTTGTCTGAATAACATTAACCAGATAATTGCTACTTATTCATACAATTGCCTATAGAAATACTACAAGGCATGGTCAATGCTGCTGTCCTAGCACTTTACAGCTAGACACATCCATCTATTCTCTAGTATATTCATATCTCCTTCTTTTATTATGCCTAAGGCTGATCCTTCCATTCTTCCTCACTATATGAATGACTATCAGAAGATCAATGCTAATACTATCTCTGACCCTCTCCTTTGTATTAATGATATCTTTGTGGATTGTGCCAAGGGTAAAGTATGGGAGAAAATAGACATGACCAGCTTCTTTTTCCAGATCTGGGTATATCCCAATAATATCCACCTGACAGCAGTTACAATACTATTTGGCATATATGAGTGGACTATAATGCCAATAGGCAGTCAAAATGCTTCCACTACACATCAATGCTAGATATACTTTGCTTTATGTATGCCATCAACCTTTACTGTTCCCCAAAAAAGACATCCCTCTTCTGCAACTTAGTTGACTTTCTTAGGCACCACATTTCTATTGCCAGTATTGAAGCTGACCATTTGGAAGCACAGCAGATCCTTAACTGGCATATCCTAGAGTCTATGACTAATGTTCACTCCTTTTTCAAGCTCATGCAATATCTTGCCTAGTTTCTTCCCTGCCTTATAGACCTTACTCACATCCTTACACCACCCACTATGAAGAAGACTAACTACACCTGGCCTGAGTGGTCCCTAGAACATAGCACTGCCTTTCATGCAATCAAGCAACTTATTATGAGCCAAGAGTGCCTTACTACAATTAATCATGTTAACCCAGGTGAGAATTGGATTTTTGTCACCTGTAATACTAATGATGTAGGCACTAGAGCAGTCCTATCCTTTAGCCCTTCCTGGGAGACCACCCACCCTATTGTATTCAAATCTGCACAGCTCAACACTGCCAAATGGAACTATCTAGTTCATAAAAAGGAACTCTTGGCTATCATTCACACCCTTAATAAGTGGTGCTGTGACCTTCTTAGTATACTCTTCATCATTCATTCAGATCACCACACTCTCAAAAGTTTTACTCAGTGGAAGGGACTCTTATAGTGCCAAGTGCTTTAGAAAGAGTTCCTTGCTAATTATGATCTCTACATTGAGTACCAACTGGCCCAGAGAACACTACCACTAATATATTGTTTTTGCTGCCTCCTTTACCACCTATTACTGCAATACTTCTCTCATATCCCCCCACCATCATTGCACCTGTCCTTGCAGTGTCTTCAGATGCTATATTTCTCAATAGCATCTACAAGGGTTACCTAACAGATGTTTTCACTTAGCACATACTTTGCAATCTCACTAGTACTCCTAGTATGTCTTTGCACAATGGAATTCTCTATCTCTCTGGCTGGCTCATTATTCCTAGCATCCCCACCATTTTCAAATCCCTCCTCTCCCTCACACATGATAGCCTCAGGCACTTTGGCAGCAATAAGTATTACACTGTGGTCCATGACTCCTACTATTGGCCAGGAATGTGTACTAACCTCAAACATGGTTTCCTCCCATCCTGTGCTTTGTGTCAATAGAACAAGTCCCTTCCCTTAAAGCCTTTGGGCCCTCTATACCCTCTACCCATTTCTAATGCTCATGGCAACAGTGTTGCTATAAAATTTATCAGGCCCCTGCCTATTGACTCTGGCTACAATATGATTATCTCCATGACCTATATATCTAGCTCCAATATCCATATCATCCCCACCAAGTCTACCCTTACTGTAAAAGAATTTGTGGTTCTATTTTTTGATCATTGGTATTGTGAAAATGGCCTCCCTTTTAAAATTGTATTAGACTACAACAAACTTTTCCTCTCTAAGTTCTGGGCCTCATTTACCAAGCTTTCCAGGATCAAATTGAGACTGTCTTCTACACTCCACCCATAAACTAATGGCTCTTTTGGGTGGACAGACAAGATAATTAACCAATGTCTGTATTTCTATATCTATATGGAATATGACCAGATTGGCTAGGTAATAGCCTTGCCATATGCACATTTTCATCTTATGAATACCATGAATGCTTTTATGGGTTTCTTCCCATTCTAGCTCCACATAGGCCACTCCCCTTATCTCATCCCTTTATTGGTCAATGATGCTGCACCAAATCCTCCACTATTATATACCTCCACTATTGCCCTTATTAAGCAGATCTAGACTAATACCTTGGTGACTGCCAATACATTGCTTACAGCTAAGATAGTGCAGATGGACCTTGCCAATTGCCACTGCTGCAATGGCCCTATTTTTCACATTGGCAACTGCATCCTACTGTCTACCTTTTATCACTAGCATAACCTCCAATCTAGCAACTCCTTCTAGGTCACCAAGTTTATGCCATGCTATAATGGCCCTTATACTATCTTATGGGCCTACCTATAGAGGTCTTGTTACATCTTACTACTCTCCAATACTGACAAGACTTTCCCCATGTTCTATGCCTCCTACACTCCTTTTTTGATAACAACTCTCATCTCTCATCACTTTCCTTCTTGACATCTTCCTTGGCCTGCCCTATATGTCTCTATAAATGATATTTAAGAGTTTTTTATTGACTGGATCATTGATGAACATCAATGGGGCCATAGAATGCAGTATCATGTGTAGTAAAAAGGTTGGAGTTTGGATAATGTGCACTAGCTGCCACAGCACAAACTTAAGGATTGCATGGCACTTGACAACTGGCTCTGGCTCTATTCCTGCCCATGCCTTCCTATTATCCCTGCTCACCAGCCCTACTCTCCAAAGGTTCTGCACCAACAGCCTACTATCCTAATACCACATTTGTCACTACCACCCATCCCTTGCACCATGTGTAGTAGCTAATAGGTTGTTCTCCCCCACCATTTTGCCTTTTGATCCTCTGGCAGATTTTTCTGGTTAGGGAAGAGTGTAAGCCCATTGCCCTACAACACCAATCACAATCTGCTTACTCTCATGCTTACTGAGCCAAACACTTACTTAGACACTTACCTATACTGCATACACTCACTCTCTCTTGACACTTACCCTTTATGAACATTTGTACACTATTACTAGGCAGACATATAAATAGCAGAGCATGACAACTACAAACAGCAGCTAATTCACTCTTCCTTTCCCTTCCCCTCCTATACCTTCCAATCCCTCTGTTTTATTTAAATATACTTAATGTTGTTTCATTATTCCCATCTAATTCTTGTTCCTGCTTCTGCTTCTGTCCCACCACTAATCTAGCCCTCTCAACCCAGACTGAGTATTGGATACCTCAGTACCCTTCCACTTGTATCTTAATAAAGAGGGTAAGAGATAGAATCTGGTGGCAACTAGCCATTGGCTAATCCCATTTCACAAACTAAGTGAGGCCACTGTCCCATAGGCTTCAGGAAGCAAAACAGAGCATGTTGGAGTTTGAAATAGAGTTGGTCAGCATATGCACATACCTAGTAATGAGTGTGCCATCTTTCTAAGCACAAAGACCCTGTTTTTTGCAATTCTATGAGCATTAGCATGCTGACCTCAGGAATTACCCTAGACACCACTGGGTGGCCCCATAGCCTAGAGCAGTTCCCTTCAATGCCTACTATGACCTCAGTATTATAGTATCAGGCTAACATAGTCTTTTCTCACACCCCACAGTTATTACCTCACATCATCTTGCTCCTTTATATGTGTATTACATAATGACCTTGAGCCTACTTCACTCACAAAGACCTTACCAAGCTCCTACCATACACCCCGTAAGCATTGACCACAAGAACAGCACTGTGAGCAGCTCTGCAGTGCAATATTACAGCGAGCTTTATGACATACACTTATTGGGTAGTATAGGTCCCATGATCCATTTTTCCTCCACCCTCTTAGAGTTTACCTCGTCTCACTACTATATCTTGTTACTAAATATCACTTTGTCTCTCTACTATAGCATAATAGAACCTCATAGTCTGTGAGCACCTCTATATGTGGTTTTTCTTTATCTTTTTATATTATAGTCTTAGCATAATATCAATTTACTTTACCTTATAAGCTCATGTTTACTATACTCACTTTGACTTACTATAAATACCTGCCTATGATGCTGCAATACACCAGTTTTCAAACACCCCTTTATTTAGAGCTCAACTTCACAAGATCTTGCTTGTATTATGTCATATCAACATTGCACTTACTTGACTTAGCACTCATTACCTTCATCACCACTATTGTTAGGGCCTTTGTCACTACCCTTGAAGTTGCCTTGGTCTTTCATGCCTTGAACTATGGTCCACCATCTCATATCATACAAGAGTATTCTTGCATAGCCTTACATTACCTCACTTGATATCTCGATATCTCACAGTATGTATCTCATGCCCCATCTTGCAACTCACAAAGGTCTCTTGATATTTGTAGTAAAGTTGGCTCTCCACCTACCCTATGTTTAGTAGTATGTTTTGTGTTGTGTTTTTATATGCAAAGCCATTACTAGTGCATTACTAGGACTGCTATAAGCCTTGTGACACTTAATCTCTGCTATTCACCATCATCATCTATTATCCCAGACCCTTATCCATGCTCTTCTCTACTTTATTCCTTACTGGCTTTTCTCTCAAACTCTACTCTGCTTTACTAGGTGTCTCTAAGCACAGATTATGCTTAGAAAAAGTCTACAGGGTATAAAGTCTACTAGCATAGTCTTAGTTTGCTGTAGCCATAAGCAGTCTTTTTATAGCTGCCTAGACCTCTTTTATCCTATGGTGTTTCAGTTGCTCAAGTACCTTTTACCACAATTTCACAGTCACAGCAACCTGCTTTGTAGACAATGGGTGATATTGAGTTGTCAAAGAGCATAGGGAATTCTCTTCCTCTGGCACTATCTTACAGTGATTTCTTTAAATGAACTATAAGGGGGCATTTAGTGAGTGCTTAGCTTGGCAACAACTCTAGGCTCTTGGTTTTGTTTGTAGGTTTTTTTTTATAAATAGAGGGGGACAACAGGAAATTGTGGCACTGGGCTGGCAGCTTATGTCATATGTCCTTGCTTATGCTTATGTGGGCCATATAAGAAACTATATGAGCAAAGCAAGCATCCATAACAAATTTGGTGAGCAGAGTGAGCCATGCCTTAGCATGCCTAGTGACCCTAGCAACTGGAGTGGGCCATGCCTTGGTAGCTGTTGGGGTTCTGAATGGCATCTTGGCACCTTATAAGAAAACCTTACTAGGGAACCTGATAGGAGAGCCTAAAGATAGAGCTTAACAGAAGAATCTTATAGATAGGACCTTATAAAAGAGCCTTATGGGCAGGACCTTATGAGAAATATTATAAGGGAGCCTAACAAGGAGGCCATATAAATAGAATTTGGCAGAGGAACCTCAATCTTTTGAATGTGACCTTGCAAAATCTTATAGAGGGGCCTTATAGAGGAATCTGATAGGTAGGACATTATAGGATATTATGGAAACTAGACTTTATGGGCACTAAAAATGACATTCTGGCACCTTATAAAGGAGCTTTACAAGAGAGCCTCACTGACAGGACCTTATAGAGGAACCTAATAGAGGAAAATCATGGATAAGCATAATAGAAGAACCTAATAGGGGAATTTAATAAGGGAACCTATATAGGAGAATCTTATGTGGGCCATATCTTGGCAGCTATTGGAGCTTGAAATAGCATTCTAGTACTTTATGGAAAAGCCTCATACATCAGGGAAAGCATGCAGATCTTTCATGGCCTGATATGGCCTGAGCAGGCCATATAAGCCAGGTATGGCAACACAACCTTACCAGGCACCGCCAGTCTTGTAAGAGTCAAGAAAGGTAACATGAAAATAGCCATCCTGGTGAGATTTGGTCAGTCTGATGAGATCTTGCCAGTCTGGCCAGTCTCAACAGGCTTCACATTCTTAGGTTGGATTTCTTCAGACTGGGCAGTTAATAATATACTTCAAATCTCTTTATATTTCCATGCATGCTATTGTATGATACATGGAATTTAGAATTGAACAAGACACATTAATACAGGCCAAGAGGCAGAAAAGAAACAAAGCCATAGCACTTAGGCAGCACATGCTAGCTGCTTTCTGGTCAGGTGCTGCATTATGGATCCAGTATTCGATCTCCTCTGCTTTCTCTTGACTCTAGCTGCAAGACTACTTTTGACTAGGCTTGCACTTCAGTCCAATAGTGCAAAAGGTGGCATTAGCCTGTCTGTCAATAAATTGCTTAGTTGTTGAGAAACAAGAGCCGCATCCAAGTCTCTAAAAATCAACACCTACCACAAAACTGAGTGCAACTCCTGAACACTCAGCTGGTTTGATGGCTTCCTGCTGTATGCAGGTGCATCGCGCAGACATTTGATGTGCACAGTGCCATATAATGTGTTTATAGCCGACCTGCCTGCAAGCTTTGACAGCAGATTGCAAAGCGTGTCCACAGGCAAGGAGCTACCCTCAATAGACCAAGAGAGCATGCTCAACATAGAATGGTTCAAGTCAATAATTACAGCTCCTAAGCAGAAAAGCAAGGCATTGATAATAGAGAAGAAGGGTTACAGAAGGTGGCTTACTTCAATTTGGCAGAGTATTTAAATCAAGGGATATTATCAAGGAATGTCAAGACACTGGTCAAAGTCTAAGAATCACAGGGACATACTATAGGATATGTTGCCTCTATATGCATTGATTTTCAAAAAGATGCAATGGCATGCAAACAATAAGCAAGGGATGAGTGTCCACAAAATTCACATCCAAGCCCACATAGAAAAAGTTAGCACAATGTCCAGTTATCACTGAGTCCCAAGTGGCCAATGTATAGCTCAAAAGGAAGCCTGAGACAAGGTATAGAGGAAGTATAGTTAGTGGTCCTAGCCAGTAATGGGAATCAGCACATATAGCAGGCTCCTACCCACCACCGTGTTGAGGACAAGGGTCTACTACTATGAGGAAATAACAAAAAACATATGAGAAAACATATGACAAATAAATGACATAATGAAGCAATATTTTGAACCTTATTCCTCGAGCAACCCAAGCCCTCTCCATCAGTGGCTGGCACAAAATATATATAAACATGCGCCATCTGGAAGATTCACCAGTGTCAGCCACAGAAGACTAGCCACATGCAAGATTTAGATTATTAGTAATGCGAGTGCATAACATCATGAAATTTACTGAGTTGCACTTGGGGCTCTGTGTTACGACTGCTCGTCGGTAACCCCAAGAGTAGGAGGTTCTTCCCTAGGTCACTCGTGGAGGATGTGTGGAACGATGGTCTCGACTGTACGTGTAGCACAGGAGCCAGGGGTGTATTGCGATATAGCAAGGAAGGCTGTAGTAGGAAGACTACAGTGGATGAAGATCCCTGTATGTGAAGATACAGGGGAACGAAGAGAATAGACTGAAGAGCCTCAGCCTACTCTATGGGCCTTTTATACTACTTTAGGGAATAGGGCGTGAGAATACCGTACATGTATCCGTAGGTATTCTCTAAGTTGTCTCTCTCAATAACGACTACTCTTGTGCTTCTCCGTTAGTCTCCTTCCGGCCAGGAAAGACTAGGAGCTCAATGCCCGGTGTGTGAGTAGTTTGTAAGGCGGCGTTCCATGCCCGCTACGCAATAGGCCCGTGATACTCGACCAACGATAAGGTGATCCGTTGGGAGTGGATGACCAAGGTTACTATCTGTACCTTGTTGTACGCCTTACCGTGTGAGGCCGCTTGATATTTGTGATGATCGTGTCGGTATAGACCGCCGTTAAGGCCCGACAGAACGCGATCATAACAATACCCCCTTTCTACGTCCTATTTGCCTGGTAGGACAACGCTTTTGCGCTTCATCGCCACTCCATATACGATTTGCTTTCTTGATCCAAAACGATCTCTGGATGCGACTTCCGGGACATGACTTCGTTTTCTGGGAGGAAGACCAACTTATGTCGTTTGATCCTCTAGGAGTTTTCCATCTCCGTTGAGCTGTTTGTTTCTCGGCCATAACGCAGGGGGTTCCAAGCCCTGGGCCACTAGGATGTTCTTCCTTCACCCGTAAGGATTGATTTTGCCGCGGGTAAACCCATCGCAGTCTTACTTCCAGCCTCCTCTGGAACAGCATCAAGAAAGGTGTATGAATGCGAGTGGTGTGTGGATGAATAGAAACTCTAGCATGTGGGTTTCGATTCGTGTCATCAGGTTCTTCTTCTTCCTTCTCCGAGGGCCAAACCTCAGTGTTTCCAGGATAGTCGTTATCCTCGTGATTTTGTTGTTCCTCTTGGCGTTCAGAGGATGGCGTCCACGGGCAAGTAGGTTGATCGCTTTACAAAGGCTTAGGCCTACTTCCCCAGACTACCATCTTGACGTCCCAAGCAGTATCGCTCCCATACGGTGAGCTCATCTCCGGTGAGGTTGCAGCCATAAATCCCAAGCAGTATTGCCCCCATACGGTGGGCTCATCTCCGGTGAGTTAGTTCGACGTCCAGAGTTTGTTTGATTCACTATGCGTATTGGGTTTGAGGCAAGGATGTGAAGAGAATTAGACTTGAAGGGTGCCGCGAGGAGTAAGGAGGAGTCTGACTCCTTCTCCTGATCGGCCCGTTCGTTTGCACGAATGAACATTAAGACCACAGCTGATATATTTGTCGGGTTTGCGAGATATATCCACGACTAGCAGTTTAAACGTCTTGCCGGACGTTCCGTAGTTTATCGTCGTTGCGGACGACAGTAGTTTTACATCGTTTCGGATGTATTAAGGCGCCCTGCGCTGCCTTGTAGTTTACTTCTAGGTCATTTGCGGACCTTCTTCATCATCAACATGGAATATCTGTGGGGAAAGATGTTTCTGCATGCCGGAATTTCCATCGGTTGTGTGCATAGGGCCCTAGACCAGACTTTATCCCGCAGGTTTCCACTGAGGCATGATGGGAACGGTTTATACTATATCAAACCGGATAACTTATACGTCTCAATATTAGGAGACCGCTCAGTTTAATGCCGTAAGGTAGGCATCCTCACAGTTTAACGCCGTGCGATGGGCGAGCTATCGTCTGACTATGTCCCTCGAGTCACGATAGGCTTTTCCTTCCGAGGATGAAGGTAGTTTAACGTCATCTCGGACGTTATCAGCATCGTTCTCGTCAAGGACGACGTTGATGATGATCCCTATACTGAAAAGGGACGAGTAGTTTAACGTCATCTTGGACGGTTGATGACCAGGGTCTTGGTCAACAACCACAACTCCTATTCGGTAAGGAGCACATAGTTTAATGTCATTGCGGACCGATTGACAGCATGGCGGTCAATCCACAACTCCTATACGGTAAGGAGCAAATAGTTTTCCATCATTGCGGACGCATTGGTGTCCAGGGGATTGGACATCAATGACAACCCCTAGGTCCAGGGGCACTAGTTTAACGTCGTCGCGGACGCACGGTATCTTGTCAAGATTGCCACGCACAATCCCTATACTTGAAGGGACAAGTAGTTTAGCGTCATTTCGGATGCGTGGGGGTAACCTTGATTTCCACCACGCACGATCCCTAGAACAAGGGACGGTAGTTTTACATCATTTCGGATGCTCGTAGTTTACCGTCGTTGCGGACGTCGATGCCATTTCCATTGCAAAAATGGCCTCGAACAATCCCTATGTGGAAAGGGACAATAGTTTATCGTCATTGCGGACGAATGGGCATCTGGTCGAGATATCCATTACAATCCTCATTCTTGAGAGGACAATAGTTTATCGTCATCACGGACGTTGTTTCGCCACAAATATTGTGGAAAAACAATGCTTAGTTTAACATTATCCCGGACGTTTCGTAGTTTATCGTCGTTGCGGACGAATGGCGGAATAGACTTCTCCGTATGAGTGGCCCGCTCTTGTCGTTCTCCCGCTATGTGGGCCAGACGAGAGTCGTGTGACCTAGTCCCTTCCTACTAGATCTTCGACTCGAGGCACGTGTCCTAGTTGCCTCCTGACTAGGTCTTGGAGCGGAATTTCTTGTACTTCGACTCCAGGACTAGACTGAGCGCTCCATGAAGAGATGCTTGCTCTTCCATGTCCCCAGACCCCTCACTTGGATTTGAACCAAGTCGACCCGATATTCTTTTACCGAAAAGCGAGTGAATATCGGAAGCGCTTCGACCTCTTATAGGCAGGGTTCTGCGACGCGGATCCTCCCGAAAATCCGCGCTTCACCAGAATGCAACCACGCTCCTTGGGTCACTGGTAGTTTTACGTCATCTCGGACGAGGATAGTTTTCCGTCATTTCGGACGAAAACTAGTTTAACGTCATTGCGGACCCTAGTAGTTTATAGTCATTGCGGACCAAGCCTTTGGTAGTTTTACATCGTTCCGGATGTAATTTATGGCCTCGCATCAATTAGGAAGACTTGTGAAGTAAAGGCAGCCCGCTCTCTACATCATCTCATGCGCCAGCTGTAGGATCCCCTAATGCGGAAACAATCCTGTAAAACGGGAGATCCAAAGTGGGACGTCCCAAAACACCAGTCAGACCTTGACTGTGAGGGTTCACTTAACGAGTTGTGCATCATAATTTCTTGACTCGGACTTGCAACCGGTTATGTATGGGCACTTCGCTGTACCAAGGCGAAGAGCCGGCTTGTTGACACCTACGAGTAGAGTATATGTCATGTAGAGGGTTCCCTAATGCGGAAAAAACCCTGTAAAACTGAGGATCCAAATGGGACGCTCAATGCATCTGTCAGATTAACTCCTTGACAGCGAGGATGTGAAAGGTTCCGCTGTGGGTCGTACGTGGAATTATGCCCGCTGTTGTCCTTGATTCGTACCATCATTTGAACCTAGGACTAATGGTCAGGTACTTCCCCTGCCTTCTTATCTTTTCACAGTTTTAAGACATGCAGGTCCGATAGTTTAGACGTCATTCCGGACGCGGAGTAGTTTAACGTCTCTTTCGGACGAGGTCGTACAGTTTAACATCTTGAGGGACGATCCTAGTTTTACGTCGTTGCGGACAACGGTAGTTTTAGGTCATTTCGGACCCTCTATTGGGGAAGGAGTTCCTCAACTTCCTTACCCCCTTTCTCGCTCCGCAACTGGCCCTCTCTAGTAGTCATAGGGTCCTTGGTACCCATTGCCTCCTTCATCAGGTCGATAGTAGGGATCGGCATCGTCGTAATTTCCGGGGTCGTCTAGAGCATCCCATGCATCGAGCTCGGATCGAGTCCAAGAGCAATTTCTTCTAGCCTCCGAATCAGCGCGGCGAGTTCTGCGGCTACTTCGGTTATTCTGTCCCTCGTCTGTACGAAATCGAGCACTAGGAGGAGGCATTCCAGGCCGGTGTCGAACACTCCCGCCAGTAGTTGTTCCGCGGCGGAGGGTTGCCTGGGTCCCTCGACTCCTTCTTCCCTCGTTTCTTCGATAGACGGGTGGTTCCTCCTCATCGGTGCCCCCATGGGATAAGGGAAGATTTCGTACCCGGTGAGAGGAGGATGTCGTGGGATTGCTATGTGTTGTACGATTTTCCCGTGGTCTCGGTGAAGGGTGTTCCACGACCGTGTGCGGAGTCCTTCTTGGATTTGGTACAGCCGTGGGACGTTCTCCGGGACGTGGTACATTCCAGACGACAACGCGGAAGGGGTCGGTTCTACTTGGTTGGACGGCGCCCAGTTCTCCGGTGAAGAGGAGAGCTGGAAGGAGCTCTCTGTTGACATACTGGGAGAATTTGTCGGGATGGATGAGGAGGGCTCGTGGTCGTCCGTCGTTATGTTCATACCAAGAGGCGGTATCAGGGTCTGTTTGGAGGGCGAGTCCTCTGATCTGGAGACTGGCACTAGCCAGTCATCGAGGTATGTCGCTATGCTCATTCCCGGGTTGCCCTGCAGCGAAGTTAGCGAGTCGTTGTAGGGCCACGGCAGTGGCCATTTGCATTACCGCGGAAACAGCGCTTCGCTGGAGGAGCGCATCCACGTGTCGCTCCAATTCTCCGGTGTGAGGATCTGTACCAAGGGTAGTTCTTCCCATGGAGCGGGGAATCTGTCCACCAGTTGATACTGGCGGAGGTGTAGCTCCCTGTATAACTGGTATCGATTCAGTTTCTCCATGGCTTGGGAGTTGAGCTGCTGTTCTTGCTCGTAGTCCCGAGGGACCTGCAGCTCCAATGTTCGCCGTGATTGTAGCAGGAGATGGAACTCCCACTGGTACTTCGTCAGAGCCCGGTAGGTCTCTGTCATCAGGGTTTTCATTCCGTGATGCATCTCGTGGGGTCCCCTGGGATGGCGGTCGGCGAGTTCTTTCCCTTTCTTTGAACTTGGCGTAGTCCTCGGCATTGTCATCTGAGAAGTTGTTGAGGTGTGGAGTGAGGGTGACGACGGCGGGCTCTGGACGGTGAGGGCTGGTTCCTCTATCAACTCGTCCAGCATTGCTTGGGTAAGGGCTGGTTCCTCTATCCACTCGTCCGATGTCTGGATTGGACACCATAAGGACAACATCGGGGGAGGAGTTTCTGGATGGTGATGAAGCATCGTGGTCTTCGTGAAGGAGCATTTGAGTGAAAGGAGATGGTCTCTGAGGGAAGAGTGGGAGGATGGTCTGTTTAGAGCTCTCTGGTCGCTCTTTTATAGACTTTTCCTTCCGCTTTTCAGGGTGCTCCCGGATGAGGTTTATCAGGGTATTGGTCATGAAACTCCTTCATAGCTTCTTCCGCTGTCCCTTTTAGGAGAGTGTAGGGTTCCCAGGTGTTATCTGCCTCGGGATATCCCATCCACTTGACCAAATATTTGGTTCCCCGTCCTTGTTTCTTTGAGTCCACGATCATTTCTACTTCGTAATGTTCTTCATCGTTTAATACCTCCGGCAATGGTCTTGCGAAGTTTTCTCCGTGTGCCTCGGTTTCCCTATACTTGGTTAGCGTTGCGGCGTGGAACACCGGGTGGATCCTCCATTGTTGGGGAATTTGAAGTTTGTATGCCAGGGTTCCTACTTTCGCCAATATTTTGAAGGGTCCATACCTCCTAAGAGCGAGCTTGAACTTTGGATGGGTCGTCCGGATATGGGTTCCTTCTAGCCATACTTGGTCTCCTTCTTTCCACTGAGGGAGTTTCCTGTGGAGATCCCGGTCCCTGGCGTAATTGCTGGCTATTTGTAGGCTGGCTGCAGCTTCTTCCTGGACTTCTGTGATCACCTTAATGCGTTCGGCTACCGCGGGTACCTTTGTTTCCAGCGCAGTGTCGGCTGAATAAGGGGGATTGAACCCGTATAGCACTTCGAAGGGAGATTTTCCGGTGGCTAAATGTTTCCGCGTGTTGTGCGAGAATTCGGCAAACGGCAAAAGGTCCACCCAGTTATCTTGGTGGTAATTGCAGAACGTTCTCAGGAACTGTTCAATCTCCTGGTTTACTCGTTCTGTTTCTCCGTCCGTCTGGGGATAATAGGCCGTGCTGAGAGCGGCGGTGATTCCTAGCCGTTTCCAGAGTTCTCGGGTGAACTTGGCCGCAAATTGAGGGCCGCGATCGGATACTATTTTAGTCGGCAACCCATGTCGATTGAAAACGTTGTTCTGGAAAAGCATGGTTGTTTCTTCTGCCGTGATCGTTTTCTTGCATGGGGTGATGACTATGCCTTTGGACAGACCTTGGTCCACTACCACGTTGATTGAGTCGAAACCCTTGCTTTCGGGTAGGTCCGTGACGAAATCTGTCGAGATGAAACGCCAGGGGACGTTGGTAGTTTCCAAAGGGTGGATGGGAGGATGCGTCTTGTGTGTCAAATTCTTGGTTGATTGACATACCGCACATCCGTCCACGTATTCATGGATGAACTTTGTCATGTTTTGCCACCAATAGTGTCGTTGTACTATTTCCAACGTTTTTGTTCTCCCCGGGTGTCCTACCGCGGGTGCGTCGTGATGCGTTTTGACAATAAGTCTTCGTATGGCATCGTCTTTTGGGATGCATATGTGGCCATTTCGTCTGGTGATTCCATCTTCGTGTGTCCAGTGTCCCAGTAATCCTCTCATTCCTTGTGGCCCTACTCGCAAAAGTTTTACAAGGGCTACCCTTGTCAGGGCATCATGTTCCGATTTTGAGCGTCGGATGAGGGAGATGAGGTTCGAGGATGCAATTTCTGTGGACTTGATATGCCATGTCGGGGACGGTTCTACCAGTGTTTCGTCGGATTTGTTAAAAAGGTTGGCCGGGAGCAAAATTTGAGCTTTGTTGTCAGATTCCACCCCCTCACTTAGATCTGGACGCCTGGACAGAGCATCGGAATGATTTGTTGATCCCGCTTTATAGCTGAGCGTGAAGTCGAATCTGCTCAAATAAAGGCTCCAACGGGCATGTCGTCGTGAGAGATCTCGCGCCGTTTGGAAGTGTTCCAGGTTCTTGTGATCTGTCCAGATCTCGAATGGGTGTCGTGCCCCTTCAAGGTAGTGATTCCAGTGTTCCAATGCTTTTATGATGGCCAGGAGTTCGCGATCATGGACATCATAGTTCCGTTCTGCTGGTGAAAATGACCCGGAAAGGAATGCGACTGGGTGCCAGTCACCATCTTTTCCTTCTTGCAGGAGGGTGGCTCCGTAAGCGATTAGTGAGGCATCCGTTACTAGTCGATATGGATGCATGGGGTCCAGGTAATTCAGAACGGGTTTACTGATAAATGCCCTTTTTAATCGTTCGAAAGCTTCCTGGCACTTCGAAGTCCAGTTCTATTTTGCATCCTTTTTGGTGAGGTCATGCAGAGGGTGCGCAATAAGGGAGAACTTATCGATGAAACACCTGTAGAAATTTCCTAGACCTAAAAAGGAGCGAATGTCTCGGACGGTGTGTGGGACTGGCCAATCTTGTATAGCGTCCACCTTTGAGTCTTCCATTGCGACATGGTCTTTTGAAATTGTGTATCCCAGATATTGGAGTTTTTCTTTATAAAACTCGCACTTTTCTGGCTTCAGATAGAGGTCATTGTCGCGCAAGATCTGGAAAACTTGGTTCAGGACCTAGATGTGTTCCACCATGTTTTTGGAAAAGATGAGGATGTCGTCCATATATACGGTTATTTTCCGGGCCGTGATGAGTTCTTTGAAGATCATGTTCATCATGGCCTGGAAGGTGGCTGGTGAGTTGGTAAGGCCGAAGAACATCACCGTGGGTTCGTAAGAGCCCAGCGGAGTGATGAAAGCTGCCTTCCACTCGTCGCCCTTCTTGATTCGTATATTGTTGTATCCCCACCGTACATCCAATTTGCTGAAAATGGTGGCCCCTTTGATCACGTCCAATAATTCTTGGATTAGTGGAAGGGGGCACACATTTGGGATGGTGTACGAGTTCAAATGGCGATAGTCCTGTACTGGGCGTAGTTTTCCATCTTTCTTTCCTATAAAGAAAAATGGGGCTGCCGTTTGTGAGGTGGATCGACGGATGGTCCCCCGAGTGAGGTGTTCCTTGATGAATTTTCCTAATTCATCGTGTTTCTCTGGGCTCAAGGCGTAGATTTTTGGTACTTGAGGTTTGAAAGTCGGTTTCAGATCTATGGCGTGATCCCAATAAGTGTGCTCTGGGAGTCGCTGCGACTTTCGTTCGCTGAAAATGTCCAAAAATTCGTGGTGCACCTTGGGGACTCTTTCCTTTAGATTGGTGACGGCGATTTCGTCTTCCAAGTCCTGGTCGAAGCTGGCAAATCCTGACGGTTCGGGAGCCAGTTTCCGAATAACTGGTTCCTCTATGGCCTGTTTTCCTGAGTTTTCATGTGGGAGATCAGGTTCTCCCCCGTTTGGTGAAAGAGATGGTTTGGCTTGAGCCTTTCGTTTCTCTTCTGCGTATTTCCTTATGTCCTGTAGGAGCCATTTCCTTTTGAGGTATGCTCGTAGTTGGACACCAAACGTTCCGCTATGATCGTGGAGTCCTACATCTTCTGACAATCTTCGGAGATGTTCTAGGCGCTGTTTTTCGCGCTCGTTAATGCGTGGTTTGTGCCATGGCTCCACGTCCGATAACCGCCTATTGTTTTGCGGTTCTTCCCTTGCCCTAGTGAACCCATGTGGTTGCTGGCATTTCTGGGGGCACCGATAAAAGTGCACTTCACGTCGCCTCCACTCGATGGAGGGATCGTGGTATTTCAACCAATCTGTTCCTAGGATAAGGTCGTCCTTCCCTAGATTGGAGATAAACATCTGGACGCGTTCAGTGTGCGTTCGTCCCCTGATGTCCCGAATGGTGAGGTTCACATCCAAGGCGGATCGGATGAGACCTGCTTTATTAATGGTGTTATCGATGTTCCGGACGCGAATGGGGTTGTTGAGTGTATAGGTGGGGAAACGATGTCTTCTGACCCAAGTTTCGTTTACTATAACCCCTTCGCATGCCGAGTCGATGGTTGCCTTTGCCCCAGCGTATTGACTCCTGTTTGATACTTTCACGTTCAGGCGTATGGGAGTGATGATACGGTCATTCATTGCTCCGATACGAATACAAGTGTGGGCATCAAACTCGGGTCGTCCTTGACCTCTCTCCTTCGCTGGTGAGGGAGAGGTCAGGAAAAACGCTCCGCGTGTCCCAGGATCACTTCTCTTGCTTCATCTTCCCCTAGTTCTCCGAGCACTGCTCCGATTCGAGCAGAATGACTGACGCTTCCGTCTCCCCGTCGTCCGTTAGGTAACATAGCGCGTTGCCCATGGTTCGTTTGGGGTCGTCCGGATGGGGCAGAGTGAGGACGTTCCATCGAAGGACCAGGTTGTGGTACCCGCTGGTTGTTGCGATGAACATCCTCTGTCTCCATTCCTCGATATATTCCTGCTTGGTCTCCCATAGCGGGTGCGTCGTCTTCTCCTTCCAAATCAACCGCGCGGTTTCCTCTCCCTGTCGTACCCAGGCGTCTCTTCGAGTTTCCTCGAACTGGGCGAACGCCTCTACGTGGTGACCAACAGTTAGCACTAGAGTGCCCTGGCTTTCCGCAGTTAGAACAGGAGGTGGTTCGCTTGCCGTCAAATTTCCTCTTTTGACTTTCGGCGTTACGCTTTCTGGTAGCGTCAATGTCCATGTCAACCACCTGGTTGTTCATTCTGCGAGGGGCAGTTGTGGAGTTATAACGGACGGCTTGTTGGGTGTGGAAACGATTCAGATAATCGCTGCGAAAGGAGGTGGAGTTGGCAAGGATGGCTTTTTGAGCGGATCTGGCTCTGAGTCGTCCGTCTATTTCGCAGGCTGTGTTAATCCAATCCTGAATGGTGTCCTTTGGTTGAACTTCCTTGTCATATATTTTATCCATGACGCACAGGTCTAACCCACGTTGGAAGTAGGGGACTTGCTCCTTGTCGGAGATGTCGGCATCGGCAGCAATGAGAATGAATTGGTTGGAGTATTCATCAACCGTCATTCATCCTTGGGAGAAGGCCATGAGTGCGCTTCGCGCTTTATCGGTCTTTCCTGTCTCCCTAAATTGGAGCTTGAACTTTGTTAAAAAGTCCCTCCAGGTTCCTAGATCAGTGGGAAGGTCCGCTCCTACTGATTTGAGGAGGAAGTTCTCGGCCCAAGCTCCTGCCGTGCCATATCTCATGCATGAGAGCACGAGGGATATCTTGTCTTGATCGGTCTTGTACCAATCGGATTCTGCTGCGAAAAGAAGGAGGCATTGGAGCATGAATTTCTGGGATTCGATGCGGTTGCCTGTGTAGTTGTCTGGGAGTTTGACCTTTCCTCTCCCAGGTTGTACTGTTGTGGAAGGGGGGTCTGTAGAAGTCGAAGCTTGTCCCGACATTTCGGCGAGCGGTTCGTTTCGGGTGTTGATCGGTGTTTGGTCTGGTGAGTCGGAGTCTGATTCCGAGGTTGTTTCCTCTTGCTCCGAGTCTTCGGGGATTACCGGCGCCGGTTCCCTGTATTGTGGGGCTAGTTCCCACTGAGCTTCTGTTTCGTTCCAAATATCCTCTTCTTCTGTTCCGTCTTCAAGGGTGAAGTAATAACGCCCGTTTCGGTATGAGCAGTTATCGTAATTCGGAGGGGCGTATCTGTTGTTGTCTTTGTAGACCCAGAAGTCCCCTTCGCGCTGGATAGGGCGATTGTTGTGACGGAGTTGGTTATTGATACATCTAGTGCCTGGTGGATATTCCTGGCCTAGGTCTTGCTCCAGAGTGTGTGTGGTAACGCTTTCTTAATGGGGGTCTATTATCCCCACCAAGGAAGGTTATGAGAGAGAGTGTGGCAGCAAGCTAGTGCGAGCAAGGTAGGGGCAGAAGAGTCTATTCTAGTGTTACGACTGCTCGTCAGTAACCCCAAGAGTAGGAGGTTCTTCCCTAGGTCACTCGTGGAGGATGTGTGGAACGATGGTCTCGACTGTACGTGTAGCACAGGAGCCAGGGGTGTATTGCGATATAGCAAGGAAGGCTGTAGTAGGAAGACTACAGTGGATGAAGATCCCTGTATGTGAAGATACAGGGGAACGAAGAGAATAGACTGAAGAGCCTCAGCCTACTCTATGGGCCTTTTATACTACTTTAGGAAATAGGGCGTGAGAATACTGTACATGTATCCATAGGTATTCTCTAAGTCGTCTCTCTCAATAACGACTACTCTTGTGCTTCTCCGTTAGTCTCCTTCCGGCCAGGAAAGACTAGGAGCTCAATGCCCGGTGTGTGAGTAGTTTGTAAGGCGGCGTTCCATGCCCGCTACGCAATAGGCCCGTGATACTCGACCAACGATAAGGTGATCCGTTGGGAGTGGACGACCAAGGTTACTATCTGTACCTTGTTGTACGCCTCGCCGTGTGAGGCCGCTTGATATTTGTGATGATCGTGTCGGTATAGACCGCCGTTAAGGCCCGACAGAACGCGATCATAACACTCTGGACCAAAGATTTGAAGGTTGAATAATGATATACAACACAATAGCTCTATAAAGTCACTATAAGCCCCAAATGTCAAGGATATAACTTGATGGCAAAGTAAATGCCAGAGCAAAAGGCAATAATCACTGGTTATATGGCACTGGTAAGAACATAAATAAATTGATGTGTTAGTATAGTGGTTATATTGCCACAATAAAATTTTACCCACTTACAAGGTCACAAGTTTGAACCTGGCATAATTTCTCTTTTGATCAGGTATGCTCCCTTCCTATATAATTCATCAAAAGCCTCAATGCTTCTATTCTTATGAGACAGAATTGATAGTTTAAATAAAACATATATAATTATGCCAGGTTCAAACTTGTGACCTTGTAAGTGGGTAAAATTTTATTGTGGCAATATAACCACTATACTAACACATCAATTTATTTATGTTCTTACCAGTGCCATATAACCAGTAATTATTGCCTTTTGCTCTGGCATTTACTTTGCCATCAAGTTATACCCCTGACATTTGGGGCTTATAGTGACTTTATAGAGCTATTGTGTTGTATATCATTATTCAACCTTCAAATCTTTGGTCCAGAGCCCCAAGTGCAACTCAGTAAATTTCATGATGTTATGCACTCGCATTACTAATAATCTAAATCTTGCATTTGGCTAGTCTTCTGTGGCTGACACTGGTGAATCTTCCAGATGGCGCATGTTTATATATATTTTGTGCCAGCCACTGATGGAGAGGGCTTGGGTTGCTCGAGGAATAAGGTTCAAAATATTGCTTCATTATGTCATTTATTTGTCATATGTTTTCTCATATGTTTTTTGTTATTTCCTCATAGTAGTAGACCCTTGCCCTCAACATGGTGGTGGGTAGGAGCTTGTGCATATAGTGATATTAGAACTAATTCTCAGTGCATATAACAACATACTGTGTCTTAAGTGCCTTGTTTGTGACACTTGACATGAGGGATAAAAGCAAGATGCATTTCAAAGTCTGACTGTGCAAGTGACACATCTTTGCAAACACAACTTGTCATTTTGACATGTGCTTCTCTTGAATGTTTCTAACCTCTGCACCTTGGTCTCAATGCCTCTACCTTCTCATTCAGCTTATCTTGCTCCACCTTGATGTCTATGGCTCCTCATATTGCACTCAAAGGTAAGAATCTTGACCCAGAAGGAAACCCAAATGACAATAACAACAACATGTCTTACGATAGCGGAGACATCGACAACAATGCAACAATAGTAATGATAGCGAGTCAGACCAATCGATTTTAGTACGAGTTTGACAATGCTATGAATAAGGGGTCAGAGAACAAGGGTTTTGATGATGAAGGTGTTTCATTTTGCAAAGATTTCAGCTTTAGTCCACTGTAATCCATCATTTTGTCTCATTATCCAAGCTCTTTTTGTTGTTGTTTGCATGGCTTGACCTGAATTGACTTAGACTCACATGAACTTTGCTGTAGCAAGCAGCTTGGAACTGTCAAAGTATCGCATTGCATAGTTTTACTGTTGTACCAACCTAGACAAGACCGCATAGAGACATTGACTGGGGAAGCCTGGCGAGAGCAGAAAAAACATACCCAAGTGTACCAGTGCTTGTCAGGGCATGCATGCTCATGTTGGGATTCACTAGTGGTGCCAGATTTAGGTGCTTTTCCTAATGTAGGCAGGACCTCATGGAGGAACTGGATAATCCTTGACAAGAGAGCCTTATATAGAGAATTTTATGGGCAGGACCTTATAGGATATTGCAAGAGAGCCATATTGGGACAAAATACTTTATGGGCACTGGACTTTACAGGCACAAGAACCCACGATCAGTGCACTTTACAGGTACACTAGACCAAGCACTACAACAAAAACTCAGATTAAAAATGGTTGTGCCATCACAATGCGATGGGTGGGAAGCTAGTTTTCATATGAGTGCAACAACACACTGTGCATCTTCTTCACTTACCGGAACTAATATACATGGGATACAGTAGACTACATATATAAAATGGATCATCAGGATCTTTCCTCACATGCTCCGACTCATCTGAGGTGTGACATTGGGCTCGCAAAGACATATTTTCAATGATTAGGAATGTAAATCACCTTTAAAAATCTTAAAGTTTCAGAAACCGAGTCTACACTATTTAACACGATTTATGATAAAAAGACTGAGACCGATATGTCGAGCAATGAGCGAGAAACACCGACTGTCCGAACATCGGTATTGTCCGAACATAGGGCCAGTGACAGAATAGATTCAGTGCCATTCAAAAGTATCTAACTGTATCTACCTTGCGTGGGCACAAATAAAACTTACAGCCCGCCAAACCTACTCAATTGCAATCACGCTTGCGGAGGAGGGACCTGATCAGATCACTAATCAGCGCGACTCGCAAAACAACCTCAAGCACCTACCTGATCCAACGCCCTATCCACCTCCGTCGCCAACAGCCTCCTGAACGTCTCCAACCCGCTCCGCGCATCGAACCCCGTCACGATATCATAGTCGAACCGACTGAGATGCGCGCACCGCAGTGGCACCTCGGGCACGTCGCCCGCCGCGTCCTCGAACACGACGTCGCGGTGCGGGCGCTCCCGCAGGCGCGCAGCGACGCGCGCAAAGTACACCCAGAAAAACGGGGGCGCGCGCCAACCCGTCGCGCCGGCGCCGACGGCGGGGCCGTTTGGCGCGCCGGCCCCCGCGCCGTCGGCCGCCATGCCGCTGCCAATCATGACGGCCGTGAACGCGTTCAGCTTCGATGGGTTCTTCGCGGCGAGCGCGTCGTGCGCGCTCGGCGGCGGCACGAAGCAGCTCGCGCAGGGGGCGGCGGACGCGCGCACGAGCGTGTCGGGACACGGCGCGAGCCATTCCAGCGCGCCCCCGCCCCCGCCCCCTCCGGCCCCCACCGCGACCGGGTCCATCCGCACGACCTCCTCCACGGCCCTGACGCACCTCTCGCGATACTCTAGCAGCCGATAATGCTGCTCCCCGCTCATCGCCGCAAAGTGTTTCGAATGGGCCATCCGCGCGAGCTTCAATGTCGCGCGCGCGGCGCGCTCTGCGATGCTCTGCAGGTCGCACGCACAGGCGAGGGCGTATGCGCCGAGGGGGTCGTTGGGCACGGCGAGGACGAGGGCGGCCTCGGCAGCTTCGTCGATCGCGTCGAGCTGGTATTTGCGCGCGGCGGTGAGAATCGCGGGGAGCGTGTCGAGGAGAGGAGGCGGCGGGGATCGGACGGGGTAGATTGTGCGGAGGAGGAAGTCGAGGATCGCAGAGGGTTCGGTCAGGCGGATGAGGGGCACGCCCGAAACGTCGGTGTCTGGGTCCGAGCCTGAGGCGGGGTGGTGACCATTCTGGTAGAGGTGATAAGTTGACAAGGTGGTCGCGAAAGGCGGGGGCCGCGATGGAGACGATGATGGAGGGGGCTGGGGAAGGCTGAAGAGGCCCTCAAAGAACGGGGAGGCAAAGGTTAGAATGAGCCTATGCACCCGAAAGTCGACATCGTCGTCCGAGCGCAGGACGACGTCCGCCGTCGGCTGATCAAACGGTGCAGGCGCGTGCCGCACAGACCCCGTTGCGTTTATCTTTCTGGTAACATGCGATCCGAGGAGCTCTGAGATCGGGGGCTCTGGTTCAGAGCTCATCGTAGGGCGAGAGGAGGTCTGGATCCTTGGGGAACGCGCGTATGCAGCCCAGCGACATGCAGAACCGCGGGGTTGGGGCGGCCGTTACCGACGCAAGTGACAAACTTGTACGAGAAGACTATGGTAATGTGAAATAGGAAAGAGCACCGGCAGCACAGTCCAATGCATAACGACAGATGGGGCGACAGCGCATCCTCCTGGCACACACAGGCTGTCTATACCCGCACTAGCACACCCATATACAACACTTGCGTGACAGCAACGACAAACAGAAAAGTGATGCGACGCGAACGCTGCGCGTGCGATACTGTACCGACGGCCGCGGGCGCGCCAGACACGTCGGGGAGGACGACGGAGCGTAGGGAGCGAAGCTGTTGAGCGAGAAAAGTGGGGCCATGAAGCAACAGAGGGCAAAGTGAATTCAAAAAGAAAGGTAAGAGAAGAAAGGGGCGAACCAGAAAGAAGGCGTTCGCAAGGAACGCGTAGAGGAAGACGAGCATCCAGACGGTGCGCCCCGCTTTGAGCAGACCAGCCGTCAGCGTGAGGATCACGCTGAAAATATGCGCTCCCTTTGTCAATGGTTCGTTCGTGATCGAGAGGGCATATTCTACGCACCCGACGAACTTGTAGCCGCAGTAGGCCATGAGATCTACGACGGGAGACGAGCTCTGTATGCCCAAGATATAACATCCGCCCTTGAGGACGAGAAAGTCGGCAAAGACGATGAAGAGGGCAGTTGTGGCGGTTAGACCGAGGATCTCTGGGTCGAAGCGGGACTGGAGGCCAGACTGGAGGGCGGCCAGCAGGACGTACGTGACGAAGGCCATGACTGAAAAGAATAATCAGACGTGCCACAACGGTAAAAGGATGGGGAGCGGAGACGGACCGGGGATGTAGAGGTCAGGGGAGTTGATATCGTCGCGAGGCGGTTGGAACTCGCTATGCCCCTGCTCGGAGCGCCACATCCTTCGCGTCCACGGACGATGGCGCCATGGAAAGAGGACGAGACGGAGCTTGCGGATGACGTACGAATTGGAGACATTGAAGTGGTGTTTGAGGTGCGTGACGGGGATCATCCCACCCAGCTAGAGATCGAGGATCGGCAAGTTAGCACGCCGGCGGGCCAGAGGAGCGCAAACGCAAGGACGGAGGCGCGCACGTTTCGTTGGACGTAGTCCTGGCCTGCAGCGACCGCGTTGTGGCCGAGCTGCATGCCGAGCGAGGCGGTCGCGCCGTCGATGCCCCACGCAGAGAAATCAGGGACGCCATGGGGGCGTTGTGGCTGTGCCTGTGGATGTTGGGTGTGCGGCTGGGGTGCGGCGGGGTGGAGGGGCTGGAACTGGTTGTAAGGCGAGTTGGGTGCGGGTGCGGGGGGCGAGGAGGTGTACCGCTGGTAGCCGTGGGGGGAGACGGGCGTCGCGGGGGGTTCTGGGATGAACGCGGGATGGGTGGGGACGGGGTGCTGGAGGGGCGGGGGGGAGCGGGAGGAGTAGTAGTTGGCCATGTCAAACGTCTGGGCTGGCTTCGGCGCAGCGACGTGGGCGATGACCCTAACCCCAGCGCCGCGTCGCTATAAAACTCGGGCGTCGGCTGCCAGCAACTCGTCGCGTCCGCCATGTCGCACTCGCCCAAGCTCACAAATGTCCCGGCCATAAAGAACGCCCCGCTCGTCGGCCTCGCAGAGGGCAGCGGCTCCTTCAGCAACATCCACCTCGGCGCACTCGTCATCGTCGTCCCATGGCTCGTCAAGCGCATCCTTCCCATCGTCAGCCGCGGCGGCTTCAAGACTTACCTCTTCCTCGTCCTCCTCCTTGGCGTGCCCATTACCGTTGGCTATTGGACACTCATGTCCCGCATTGGCTCTCGCAAGAACACAAAGGTCACCCTCCCCGGAAAGGACATCGAAGAGTACATCACCATCCATGACCCCGTCCTCCGCGAAAAGTACCACGGCAAGGAGAAGATCCCCATGCAAGTCTTCCACGACGCGTACTTTGACGGCAAGATCGACATTAACGGTACGCCCACCCTTTTCTCGCGTCTCCTTGCCTGCTGACACGTCACTCCATCCTAGGCGACGTCCTCGAGATTCTCGAGCAGCGTCATGACTTCACGAAGATGGTCTTCACCCCGGAGCTCTTCAAATACGTCTTCACTCGCTTCATTCCCGAAGTCATCGTCCACTCCCAGAGCCAGGACGAGGAACAGGTCCGCGACCACTACGACAGTACGTCTCCTTCGCTTCCTTTCTCCCGTCCGTGCTCTGACGCGTCCGTCCCTCGCAGGAGGCGACGACTTCTACGAATGGTACCTAACAACGTCCTTCGCTTCCCTATCTCGCGTTCTAACACCCCTGCCCCTCTCCAGGTTCCTCGGCCCTCGCATGATCTACACCTCCGGCGTCGTCACCTCCCTCACCGAGCCCCAGACCCTCGAACAGCTCCAGGACAACAAGCTCGCCATCGTTTGCTCCAAGCTCGACCTCCAGCCCACCGACAACCTCCTCGACATTGGCTGCGGCTGGGGCACCCTCGCTGCGTATGCCCACAAGAACTTCGACTGCTCCGTTACCGGCATCACCCTCGGCAGGAACCAGACCGCGTTCGGGAACGCGCGCATCGCGAACAACGGCGGTGACCCCTCGCGCGCCAAGATCGTCTGCTGCGACTACCGCGACATCCCCGGCGGGCCTGGCACCTACAACAAGATCGTCAGCTTGGAGATGGCTGAGGTGCGTCGCCCCTTATCTCTTTCGTCCGCTTCGGACTGGTGTTCACATGGAATGTGTAGCATGTCGGTGTTCGTCACTATTCGGCTTTCCTGCGTCAGGTATACGACCTTCTCGATGACGACGGTGTTTTTGTCTTCCAAGTCGCCGGTCTGCGTCCATGCTGGCAATACGAGGATCTGATCTGGTACGCCCTCTCTTCCACCCTGCTCTACGTGCGTTCCCGCTCACCTTGTCTTCCCAGGGGTCTCTTCATGAACAAGTACGTCTTCCCCGGCGCCGACGCGAGCGCCTCTCTCGGCTGGGTTGTCAACCATCTCGAGGCGGCCGGCTTTGAGGTCAAGAACGTCGATGTGCTCGGCGTGCACTACTCGGCAACCATCTGGCACTGGTACAACAACTGGATCTCGAACAAGGACAAGGTCGTTGAGAAGTACGGCGACCGCTGGTACAGGATCTGGGCCTTCTTCCTTGCCTGGTCGGTCATCATCGCTCGGTGCGTGCCATCCTTTGTTGTACTCTTGTTTGGGTGCCGACGCGTTCGTACGTAGTCACGGAGGCTCCTCTGTCTTCCAGTTTACGCTGCACAAGAACCTCAACGCCTACCCGCGTATCCTCGGCGTCCCCAACCACGCCTCCATCCACATCACCCCCACCAAGGACCTCGAGTACGTTCCCTCCTCTACCTTCTCTCCCCTCCCTCCCCTCCCACTCACGCACCCGCCTCTTCCCTGCCAGACCCGCTCTCTGAGCCCCGCTTCGAGCGCGCCCTCCCCCCGCCCAATCTCCCTTCTCACGGCACGTATATACCCGCTCGGTCGCGTCGTCTACGCGTTGGAGGGGCCTCAGCAGGCGGTGCGGCCGGACGGACTTTTCTGTTTATTTACTACTCATGGCATGAGTTTCTGCTCACGATGCAAAGTTACCCTACGACTCGAATATATCTCTGCGCGCTCCGTCGATGCTACTACCGACTTTGACTAGAAAAATGATGAAGACCAGGATGGAATGTCCATCACATAAGACACGACTGTAACACGCTGTTTACTGTGTATTCTAGTCAACCGATATTGCAAATTACGTAGCATCTCAGGTATGCTATATTAATCTGCTATTACTGGCGAAGGAACCTGAGGTAACTGGAGGAAATGGCAGTAAGCATCCTATGTTGATGTTGAACACGGAGATGAATGCACGCACCAGTGCGATCGCTTTGTCGACTGCCTCGGAGAGAAGTTGTTGTAAGCGTGGTATGCATCTCGTTGTATCCCTGTACAGGATTTTTTTACCGGAACTAGATGTTAAGTGTTTACAATCAATGACTTTCTTAAAGTCGTCGCCCTTGTCGGTATGGATGCATTCAGTGGTCGGTCTTCTTTCCAAAGCCTGCCCTATCCGAGTCAACCATACCCACGCATACTCGGGTGCACGCCATCTTCCCCCAGATGGACCTGGAACAAAGCAGACGGAACACGATGTATGATCATGAAGCATGCAACCGGGAATGACTTGGAGCCATTCCTGGGAGGTAGCTACTTTGGTTGCGGCTGCAGCACAATTTTGATGGTAGGACAGAAGGCGAAAGTATTGTTCTCCAGATATACGGTCCAGGTAGCGAGAAGGAGTCGTCAATGGCAATGACAGACTAGTGCGCGCCGCCTCCGCCGCCACCTCTGGGAATCCATACTGGCAGGCAATCGCATACACGCTGTGGGGCTCCCACAGCATTGCTTTTTTCAATGACTCCTCTACAAATCCATTGAATGCCTTGAAGCGATATTTCTGTGAAGGTCCAATCACAAAGCGCAGGTCGTCCATCTGCGCTACAATCGGCGAAGGGACCGGATAGATCTTCCGGAGTATAAAATCGAGCGTGTCCGCGTCCTCCTCGAGTGCGATGACTCGTAAACTATTCTGAGGTTCATCGGTGTCTGGGAGATGGGAAGGCTGAGGCGTATTGAACATTTCCTTGAAGACGGGAGACGCAAGTGAAAGGATGATCTTGTGAACCCGAAAATCAACATGATCAGAGGAACGCAGTATAACGTCTGCATCATCCTCATCGAAAGGAGATGATGCGTGTCCACTCTTGGACACTTTGGGCACTGCAACCGGAGATGAACTTTTCTGTACCTTAGGTGAAGTGACCTTGGGCACATATCACGTGGAAATGTTAACCATAAGAATCGAGAGAATATAGACGCATACCGTTGCAATCGCCTTCCTGACCCCTTGCTTTAAAAGGCTCCGAAATCGACTCATACCATTCCTTGTATCCCATAAACGACATTCATCGGGTTCTGAATCATCATGTACCATAGAGACACTGGAATGCTGGCAATGCAGAATTGGTGGGACTTCAATAAGGTCATCAATAACACCACCCGGCCGTTCTTTCAAAGCGACACCTGCACGAGTCAAATATGTCCACAACTGTGGCGGCGCCTGCCATGGCTTGGATGATCGTAACGAATTGGTGGAATCCTGAGTGAAGCACGTGGAACACGGGGCCGCAGGACTACCATCGAAAAAAATGTCGGGGCAAGTTGCAAACCACTCATCAGAGGAAAGCACTTTGTCCACGGCATTGACACAGTCGCGATGATACTGAATGAGACGGGAGTATTGCTCGCCAGAGATTTGTTTAAGGTATTGGGAGTGTGTCACCGATGGCAGTGCCAAACTGGCCTCCGCCGCTCTCTGCGCTATATCATCAAATTCGTACTGGCAAGCAATTGCATACACACTAATGGGCTCCCGTTGCAATGCAGCATTCAGCTGTTCCTCCACAAAACCCTCGAACGCCTCAAAACAGTACTTCTGCACAGTATGGAACACGGGATAAAGGTCGTCCAAGCCTCCAATTGTTGGTGATCGCACTGGATAGATAGTTCGAAGGATAAAGTTAAGTGTCTTTGCATCCTCCTCGAGCATGACAACTGGCAGGCCATCGCGGCATTCATCATCCTTTGACTGAGAAGGCTGTGGTAAACAGAGCATGTCTCTGAAGACCGAGGATGCAACCCAAAGGATTGTCTTATGCACGCGAAAATCGACGGAATCCGAGGATCGTAGAATGATATCCGCATGGGCCTGATCAAATGGGTATGATGCATCTTTGATTTTGTCTGGTCTTGGCTCCGCCATCTGTACTATTCTGCAAGACTAGTATAAGCAAAAGTGAGCAGCGAAATTTGATACAGAGAGGACGAAGATGAACTGGAAGGACCAAGCAGGGACATGCGACGTGGGTTTATGACAGTGAACATAGCGTGAGACCGGGCTGCGCGCAGCGCTTGGAGTTTTCCGTAAGAACATCATCCGGGAAAATAACACCTGCAATTATTCCACTTCTGGGTAAAAAGTTTACTCTTTTCTACAATCTTTCCACAGGATTCGCGGAAACCCCAAAGCCCTGCGCGTCGTGAATTCGTTGAAGACGACTACATTTTTGAACTTCACCGATTGAGTACCTGACCTCCACTCACAACTTTGATCTTTAGAAGTTCAATCCATACCGCGCGTCCTACCCTGCGAGTCGGCGATCACACTTACCAATGGCCTCGAAGGACGAGTGGTTCCCGGACAAATGAAAAACGTGAAACACAGTACTAGAGCATGCCAATCAGAGAATGTAGCGGAAACTTGAGTGGTCTATTCGACTATCTCGGGTGGAGGGACCTTACAAAATTTGAATGAGCAAGAGTTTCAAATTCGTGCAGATGACAGAAAGTAAAGGTCAATGTTCACCTGCGCGACCGCCCTATTGACCTTCTCGACGAGGAGCTGGCAAAATTGCGTGAAACCCTTTGTTGTATCCTTGTAGCCTGGAAAAGAATAGCCGCGATGGCCACAGGAGAACACTTTATTCAAGTCATCACCCTTGTCAGCAATGATGCACTGGCTGCTCGGTGTCTCTCTCAAGGCAAGCCCAACTCTAGTCAAATATGTCCACAGATATGAGGGTCCATACCATCTTTTCTGAGATGCGGACGGCTCTTGAGCCTGGGTATAACATCCACATGTCGCTGAGTTTTCAAACACAGTGGTGGGGATTGGTTGGAACCAACTCGTAGAAGAAACCACATCTGTCGTGGCTGCAACACACTTCTGCCGATATAGCAAGAGACGATGATACTGCTCGCCGCAAATGTCATCAAGATATTGGGAAGGGGTCGTCAATGGTAGTGACAAGCTGGCTTCCGCTGCTTTTGCTGCTGCACCAGGATATTTGTACTTGCAGGCAAGCACATACACACTGATAGGCTCCCATTTCAGTGCCTTTTCCAGTGATTCTTCGGCGAACCCTTCATATATACTGAAAAGGTATTTCTGTGAAGGGCCAAGTACGAATCGAAGGTCATCCAACTTTGTGATCACCGGCGATGGGACAGGATAGATCATCCGGAGCATGAAGTCAATCATCTGTGCATCCTCCTCAAGCATAACGATCGGCAAGCCATCACGGTGCTCGTCAACCGACTGAGAAGTCTGTGGTATGCTGAGCATGTCTTCGAAAATAGGCGATGCGATTGAGAGGATAAGCTTGTGGACATGAAAATCGACATGGTCCGATGAACGCAAGATCAAGTCCGAGTTTGCCTGCTGGTTAAATGGAGGCAAGGCATCTTTGATTTCAGATAACTGTGGCACAGTGGTTAGTGCTGGTTCATTACAGATCTTCGGAGAGGGGATCTATCTTAGACGTGCAAGAAAAAAGATGATTTGTATTTAGTGGTAGGCATAAAGATTGTACATAATTAGCACATACCGTTCCAATCGCCCGGCGGATAGTTTTTGAAAGGAATTGCCGAGTTTGATCTTGGTCATTGGTTGTATCGAGTATGCGGCGACATTCAGATGAGTGATCTGAATAAGGCTGATCCGCAGATGAACTCGAGTGTCGGCAATGCAGAACGGTAGAGGCCACAACATTCTGGTCGGCCCTTATTATCAAGCGACTTCGTTTCTCATTCGATGGAATAGGAGGGTGAGTGGAGAACCTCCACAAATGTAGCGGTGTATGTAATGTTTCAGAAGATTGTGATAAATCTTCGCCCTTGGTGAAACATACGGAACATGGACTGCCACTGTGCAAAGTGCGGCCGGAGCTGGTGAGGACTTTCCGCACTGCATCGACACAGGCACAATGGTACTGAACAAGATGGTGGTATTGCTCGCCAGATATATACTTGAGGAATCGAGAGTGAGTCATCAGTGGTAGCTCCAAGCTGGCTTCTGCTGCTTCTGCTGCAATATCAGCAAATCCGAACTGACAGGCAATGGCATACACACTGATGGGCTCCCGTTGTAGAGCATCCCTCAGCGATTCCTCCACAAACCCATCAAACACCTTGAGAGCATACTTTCGAGAAGGCGCGATGATCGAATGGAGGTCATCCAGTTGGCTGATCCTTGGAGATCGTACTGGATAGACTGTCCGAAGTATGAAGTCGAGTATCTTCGCATCTTCTTCGAGCATAATAATGGGTAAGTCACCACCCGTTGGCTGAGCAGGCTGAGACTGATTGAGTATGTCTTTGAAGACAGGAGACGCGACTGAAAGGATAGTCTTGTGTACATGAAAATCGAAAAAATCCGAGGAACGCAGGATGATATCTGCATCTGCCTGATCGAATGGTGCACCTGCCCGGCCGAATGGTGGTGATGGAGGTCTGGTCTCGGGTAATTCTATCTCTGAGGTGTCTGACATTCTGACTGTTATAAGTGGATAGTTGAGAGAGTGAGATAGACGTTCAACGTAAGAGGACGAACTTGAATTTCCGTCAGGTCCCAGTTCATCAAGGTGACAAAGTACTGACAAAGTGCTAATGACGATAACTCGACGATGTTGCCTATTAGTTTATGTAACTTACCTCTTTCATTCATGGGTCTCGCTTTCTGTTTTCGAGTGAGTCTCCACAATCACTGTACTACGATCAAGCCGCCCAAGAGAATCTATGTTGATTCCCTTAGGGTGTATCACGACATCAATATTTCATTGTCGAGTATTTGAAGACTTTAGTACATCAGATACGCGATAGTCAAGACAATGGGAGCATGGGATAGCAAGCGAAGCTCAGAAAACGTAGATAGTTTCTGTGTCTTCGAAGAACACACGAAATGCAGTAGGCAGGCAATTCAAAGGACAGCGACCTCGATTCATCTAGTCTTTTATGGAATCGGCGAAGGAAAAGAAGCGGGTCAAGGTCAGGTCTTTACAAACAAACATACAGAGACATCATGACTCGCCTTCGCGACTGCTTCGGCAACTGCTGTCGCAAGACGTTCGCGAAATGATGCTATACCGTCTGTGAGCACTGGTTTGTCACTGGAATATCCACATTGATGGCTCGCAGTAGCCCAAAGCGATTCCAAGCTGATATCCATTACAGAAGTACGGCTAGGCGCATATAAGAGCTTCGCTCCTACATGTTCCAATGTCTGCCACACAAATGCCGGTGCCATCCAGAATAGAGTATGCCACATTGAGGTATTACGGTCGAGTGGATCACGGACGTACAAACAGAGAACCAGTCCCTACTGAATATAACATTTGTGGCAGCGAGTCCACGCTCGTAGTGATACTTGACAAGGAGTCGGTATTGCTCCGCGTTCATAAATTGTATCGCTTCCGAGGATTGGAAGATCGGATGCTCTAGAGTGCGTGTGATTGCCTGGCGTGCAATATCGAGGAGACCAAAGCGACAAGCGATCGCATATACACCAACAGGGTCTCGTTCGATGGCATCGACCAGTATTTGTTCGGCAACGCCATCGAAGGCCTCGATATCGTATTTCTGCGAAGCCTCGAACACAAAGCGGAGGTCACTCAGCTTCTCGATCTTTGGCGATCGTACGGGATAGATGGACCGGAGCATGAACTCAACGGTTTGCGCGTCCTCCGCAAGTGGAATGATAAGGAGGCCATCACGTTACTCGTCTGACATATTTTTTGCCGACCCAGTATAAGGTTCGTCGGGAGGCTGCGGGAGGCTGAAAAGCTCCCTAAAAAAGGGTGAGGCGAGAGAGAGGATGTTCTCGTAAACGCGAAAGTCTGTGTTGTCGGATGAGCGCAGGATGACGTCTGCGTGCGGTTCGTCGAAGGGGAATTGCGCGTCCACGACCGGCCGAGTGTTCTGTAGCGCAAGTGCAGTCATGTCGAGTCGTGGTTGTACCTCTGAAGGGGACCAAACCTGTCCAAATACCTCCGTGAATCATCACCATGTCGCGAAGCACATCCGGCTCACACCGACATCACGAGATTCGACATTTGTACATATCTTCCTATAGCTGTTATCGACGTCGGTGAAAGAGGACGTCAAGTAAGCCATCCTTGTGGCTTCATCAGCTGCTATGATATCATCAACCACCTCGTCAGCACGAATGTCGATCTGCATAAGCCTTCGTTCCATCTAATTTATCCCTCTTGTTTGTTTTTTCTCGTTAGGAATGGCGCCCGATCATCAGAAAGCTATTCTCGTGAGCGAAACCGGATGGGTCGTTTTGGGTCAAGCAGAGGTGCCGAAGCTTGCTCCTGGCAAGATACTTGTCAAGATTATCGCCGCTGCACAAAACCCTGCTGATTGTGCGTGTAATATCTCGATTCATGAGCTTCAATGATACTGTTCATAACGACTGACCCAACTCCACGCTATCCTTGCAGGGAAGGGCGTTACACTGGGAAGAAAGACAGGCGCCGTTGTCGGATGCGACTTTGCGGGCACGGTCGAAGAGATCGGCCCAGGAGTTCCACCCGGCATCAGAACGGTTGGCGAGCGCGTTGCCGGTTTTGTGCGCACAGGTGATTGAACCTATATATCGAAGGGATTGCGTTTCCCTCTGATTGACGCTCATCTTTCAGCGACGAGCTCAAACGGTGCATTCGCTGAATACGTCGCGGCACCTGCTGAAGTGGTGGTTCACGTACCTGACGAGTGGTCCTTTGAGGATGCTGCTCAGCTAGGCATCGCACCCTTCACCGCTGCCCAAACTCTCTTCATCACCCTAAACCTCCCTACACCTCTCTCTCCAACCGCTGAGTCAACGCCCATCCTCATTTCGGGCGGTTCCTCCTCGGTTGGCCTCTATGCCATTCAACTCGCGAAATTATCTGGCCTTCGTGTTATCGCCACAGCTTCTCCGCGAAACTTCGACTTGTTAAAGTCCTACGGTGCGGATGAAGTCTATGACTACCGTGATCCAGATGCTGCTCGCAAAATCAAGGAATCGACAAGAGGACAGTTAAAGGAAGCATTAGACTGTATTGGCGAAGATAGCACTCCTACGCTCATTTCTAATGCTCTGAGCGATAGCGGCGGTGTTGTCGCTATCATCACAAAGTACGATAGCCCCAGGGCAGGAGTGAAGCTCATCCGTTCCGTCGTATTCTCTCTACTCGGCGAGGTGATTGGCCCCTCTTTCTCTCATCGAATACCTGGTCTAGATGCTATGCACAAGGCGTTTGATCTACCCTTCACATTTACGCCGACAGCGAAGGATATCGAGCAAGGGAGAAATATGACTAAATTGTTATCCGAGACATTGGCTTCTGGTAAGATCAAACCGAATCCTGTATTGGTGCTCCCAGACGGCTTGGCAAGTGTCCCTGAGGGACTGCAATACATGAAAGACGGAAAGGCAGTTGACATCTCCCTTTTCATGTGATAGCTGTCTGACTAATCTCTGGAAACAACCACAGGTCAGCGCACAGAAGATCACCTATCGGATTTCCGACACACCAACAGGTGATGTGTAACGATATATCTCAGTCTCAAGAGGTCTCGCACATATCTTTTGATAATGTAAGATGGAGGATACCACGAAATTGAAGCTGAGTTTTTCATGCTTCCATAGTCTTAAAGCTTTCAGCTTCGAGCGCAAGGCGGTGGGAATCAACGATGTTCACGAGCGAGCATGTTACCACCTAAATGATGCGAAACTCAGCTTTGCATGTCCAGTCTAAGGGAACCCTGATACGACTACTCTTGTGCTTTCTCAAGGTACGAGTCGCCGAGTGGCAGATCAATATGTGATACATGTCACGTCAGAGCAGGTCGCCAGATCGTCGACGATGCCGCTCAAGTATTCCTGTGTTTGTTACAGTGTACGCGCGAAGCCATATACATGATGAACCTGATCATGCGGGTGGATTAGATCGTAGAGGACAATATACTTGCCCTCGATCAATTTTTGACTAGACCGGCACCCAAACGAGCGATCTCACTCAATACTGCGCTTTCGTTCAGGGTCACCAGCCCTTTATCCTTGTCTTTACCCTTCTCATTCCCCTTTACGAGTGGCAAGATGTCATTCACTGCGGTTGATAATATGAGAGCTGCACTCACTTTAGCGATTGGAATACTGGAAAAGTTATTGAAGACGCGGAATGGTCGAGCCTGCTTGAGGCTGGGGTCCCAGACTGCGCCAATTCTATCACCACCAAGTGGATCATAGAATATTTTCAGAGTGTCTGTGTAGATGCGCTGAGATAGATGCCGAATTAGGACAATGACGAGACTGAATCCATGAAAATCTACCTTGAGATCGTCAACGAACATCTGCGCAGGGTCAAATCCAGGCCGGGGAGTGCCTGTCTCGTCATTTTGAGGTAGATTCGCGAATTTGCCTTTCCTAGCCCATGCACTAGGATCTGCAGTAATGTTTTGGTAGTAGCGCGGGAGAACTGATTGCTCGAGTTGGATGACAAAATCGTAGTCGTCGATGGGATGGATGAAGAGAGACTATTGGGATTGACTCAAGAGTGAGCTATCGTTCGCAAACAGGGGATTCAAGCATACCTTCACATCTAATGCGTGTGTCTCTATCCCTTGCAAGCAATCCCACGTAGCCTTTGCTAATGCGCGCACACGATGGGCAGCAATAAGGTCAGGGCCCTGAGTTGTCCACATATGGCCGCCCTTATCAAACTCCGTTGATACTGTCCACACGCTCTTCGCGCCAACGGGAGCAGAAGCCTTGCTTGGATCGAGTCCACCCTCCGCCTCGCCATAAAGCGGCACAAAGACGCTGTCTGCCCACTTCCAGTCTTTCAAAAATCGGATGACCTGCGCGAATCCGCGCTCCCTGCTTTCCGGCACATTCTCATATACCTGTCCCGACTTTGATGTTGGCCCTCGACCAAGGAAGATGGAGGCACAGAGAATTTCCACAACCTCTTCGCCAACTTGACTGTGCAATAGCCAATGCGCCGCCAACCATCTCTTGACTAGTCTGACTGTTCCCGCGTAGGCAGAGAAACGATGACACAGCACCGCAATGGCACGATGATGTCGAGGCGAATGAATGAACTCCCGAGTGTATAACTCCAATGCATGCGTGGCCTCCTCCCGATCCTGAGCCTTGCGTGGATCCTCACTCGGTATTTCTAGCGCTTTTGGCACATGTAGCTGCTCATCGACGATCCGGTGCAACAGTGTTGCCTCGCGATCGTGCCATATCCGTGCCAAGAATACCCAACCTTGGCTCGTCACGATCTCCAATCGGGATTGATCTTGGATTTGCGACCCTGTGACACCGTCGCCAACGACAACTTGTGCACGGACACCGTCCACAGCGTTCGTCAAAGCAGCTGTCATCCGCTCGAAGAATGCCAACTTCATTTTCTGGATAGCCCGTAGGTCGTCTGGCCACCGTGCTGACTTCTCGAATTCCAAGATGATCTCCATCGGTGGAACGTATCGGGCACATTGGGGAAGAGATGTGGAAGAGGATACAGGTATGGCAACAGGATTGAAGGCACTAGTGTAGCGCAGAGATTCCGACACAGGGCTGACATTGAGGATTGATAATGGAAGATCTTTGTCCAGACTCTTGAGAATCTTGACGAGTTCGTCAAAAGCAGCCATAGCGCCTTTGAAACCTGCAGACATGCCCGCAGAGCGATACAATGACGAGATAGACTCTGGCAGCCTCAAGACACTATCAAACGCGGGCTGCCATGTGACCACCACGTCTTCATGAAGATTGAAATGTCGGGCCAGGATGTGTCGCACGACCATGGTCGGAATATGGGCTCGTTCGTCTGCGCTCTTGACATCCCAGACAACGCTTTCAACGATGCTTCCGTCTTTAAATCGGCGAAGCTCGGCCTTATCTCCCCAGAAATCGCGGAAATCCTCTGCGGCCTTTGAGATAGCTTCTGACGCCGTAGGACCGTGATCAACTAGTCGGAATGCATGCTCGGCGTTGAATATTAGTCCGATGAAAATGAGAGAGGGGTTTGAAGGATGTGCCTGGGATAAAGATCGAGGTCGGAGAGAAGGATGGAGGATTGCCAGTCCTTTGATGCGTTGGCCAAGACCACGGCGAAGCAAGGATGCGAGAGAACTGAATAATGCGTTGGACGGTGATCCATGCTCAAGTGTTTCATGCAACGATGGACAACGTATTTTGGCTGAAGAGATGTCAACACTATTATCTGAGAGTGAGCCATACGAACGCCTTTCGGATCAGAATATTGCTAACCGTATCAAGGCGTCATATCGATTTAAGAGATCTCGGCTTTCCTTCAAGAAAACGTCCGGGAAAGGGTCGTTTGAGACTGTGTTGTTGTCCAATATCTCCAACGTTATTTTGGCATCATATCTGAGCTGGACTTGGCGGTCAGCGATGAGAACATAGATATGCCAGGAACAGTTACCATGTCAAGCGAGGCAAGAGGAACACCTGCCAACAGATTGATCAACGATGATGAGTCTACGAAAACTGCTCCATCATGAGATGTGTACGTCTCTGGAGGAAACTAGGTGTAACATTGGATATCAGCCTGTGAAAAAGTCTCCAACATATATGGTACGCACACGATGGCCCTCTCTGCTCTTGACAAATGTTCTCTCACTCACAAAGTCATGACGGCCTGATAGTCATAAGTTTCCAAGAGTTCATCAGAAATAGGAGAGATTTACTTAGAAAGCTCAAGGCGGCCTTGAACAGCTGATAAGAGCTGAGCCCCTTGCCTAGTGGCCTTTTTCGTGTCGTCTTGCTAATGGCATTAACCACTGGTTCTTCACCGTTCACTACCATCTCCAACAGACTGCTCCACCAGGCGCCACGCCCTTGGAAGCCTCGCACGCACATCTTTTTGCCTTCGCCATAGCCTCGTTGGTTCGCCCATATACGGAGGAGAGCCAGCGCATCAGCATACGATGGTATATCTTGTTTCAGTGCATGTACGGATAGCAGATGCGGTTTGGGGGTAACAGATAGAAGGAAAGCAGTGTTATAAATCGGGGTCGGAAGACTCTCGGATGTTGACTCGACGGGAGGTGCATCGCTTTCTGTCAGGTGATGAACTCGGAAGTTACTACGGTGCGGAGAGAGGCGGGAAAGAGGGATCGGAGACGATGGTGGCAGGACAGGGATGATTCTGACTTGGGCATTGAGCTTTGTGAAGTCAGTTTGAGAGCCATCTAGAAAGATAGATAAGGATAGACACATGAATAAATCTAATCTTGTACTAACCCTGTCGCGGACGCAACACAAGTGTGGTCAGCCGAAGATCGCCACCACTGGATTCGTAGAATGTATCCACGTTTAGCCCACTGTTTGAGTCAACAATGTGTCTAGCTAAGACAGCCAAGTAATACGCTTTTTTGTGAAAAAAGCGTCCGTTCAGGTAGTCTTTTTCTTGGAATAGGTTCTGCGTCGTTTATGAGCGTCTTATGAAAATTTATAAACAGTTGACGTACTGAGGGCATCTCGACCGCAACGTCTACACTCCAAGGTTCACCATCCTTCGCTTTGACGCTGACTTTGTTCGCCCAGCTTCCCACTAGAAACACATCTGCAGGTTTTTCGAACACCACTTTCCAGTTTGCATCCTCAGAGGGTAAGGGCAACGGGTACGGGACGGAGATGGATGTTGACGGCGGACTAGCCTTCATTTTACCCTTGCTTTTGGATTTGCTTTTGGGAGGGTTCCCTGGAATCTCGTTGTTCAATAGTGATCGCGCGGCTTCCAAGGGATGCTGAGGGTCAACTGATGGGAGCGAGGATAGACACAAATGTAAAGCGAGAAGGAAGCGGTCCAGAGGCGCCATGCGAGAGGGTTTCGGACGGACGTTCGGGAGTAAAGCATCAATCTGTTAAACACGCATCGTAAATACGCGTTCAAACAAGAGATGGTGTATGCCTCTGATTCTGGGGGCAGTTGGATTATCCCTGCAGAATGCACAACTGCAACGCTGCAGGCAGCACGCACCTGCAATTTAAACGAGCCGGACCTGAACAGGTCGGTAGCTTCCTTGATCGCTCTGACTTCGTCTCCAGTGGGTGGTTTCTTGGGCTTTCCCCCACGCTCGTGGTGGGGCTCTCCGTCAACATCCATAGATACACCCGTGCCTTCCCATTCTTCGTCTTCTCCCTCCGCGCCATCCTCCCCTGCTTCACTCGCGTCATCAGGACCATTCGCCTCCAATGCAGAATGGCCATCCTCTGGCAGCGCGGCATCTTCGCTTTCGCTCCCGGAGTTCTCGACGGCTTGCACGCCATTTTCATGTTCGGCCTCGGGAGTTAACTGTCTCTTCTACTTTCTAGGTTTAGTTCAGATTGAGAGATGAACGGAAGATACACACCTTCGAGCCTCGCGAACTGTTTTCCTTTCCTCTTTTGCGCTTCAGATTGAGTGCCATTTGGAAGTAATGGGAAGGAATTCCTAATTCCAAATACAATAACTTTTGCGAGAGCGGCTGGCGGCAGCTGGCGGTCTGTCACTCTCCGTCACTGTTCGCGTCACTGTTTGGTCATGTAGGTCTGCAGAGGTCTGCTCTCTCGAGTCTCAACGAGATCACCCAAATCCATGACTTCCAAATCTCTAATGAACAGACAGCCACGAATCTTAGCTTGGAAATATCCTATGCATTCTCTTCAGGAAGTCCTTCTCTAAATTCCTGAATTTCTGATAAACACTTCAATCCAAACTCGTCAAACCTTTGACGACTTCAAGCCATTGCAAGCCTTCGTCGTGCCGACTTCATATTCACATGGCACGGAGGGATATCGGTAATCCTTATATGATTCTAGTATGTATATATGCTCGCCACGTACATTTTTCAATGACGTGTAATCACTGCCTTCTGCGCTGTTCTCCAAGCACTTCGCCGCTATTTTGTCGATATACCTCATGCGGGTCAGGCGCACTGATGCAGCCCATTTACTTTATCCGCCCTCCTATACCCCCATCATATCTTCAACAACGTACAACATTGCGCTATTCCTGTCTCCTGGTCATGCATCAGCGAAGGGGCCGGTAAATTCTTCTAATGGTGAGGCATCATTCACACCCCTCATCTTCTATAAGTCCAGCATGTGAATTCAGCATTGTTGTATTGAACCATCGCGCATATGTCTCATGTTCACTAAATGGCGCGTGATTGATTCATTCGCAGGATGATAACAAGCCATGATCTCGTTAATCATCCAAATGGATCATCTTCGACACTTCATGGCCCCATGAGCTCCGATTTTTTGCCGCATGTATATCTGTGAGTGGGTTGGGCGTTCATCTCGGTGCTATTGTTGTTCCCTCTCAGCGTTATCACCAATGTCCTATGGTCCAGCTGCTCGCCCCTATGCACGACTTGAGGATTCTCCCTTCACCCCGCATCTGTTCTTGCTATGGTCTATCGAAGTACTTTCCTCCCCTGGAACGTAATATCACAAAGAAGTTCGTCGTGTGTTCCCCGTCTCTTGCTTCATTCGAGTTTTGTGACCATTCAATGAGGCGGTGATTACATATGAGTATAGACTGGCAACATAGCATCTAACAGGGTAGACCAGATCGGAGCTCTCATGTGCCTAATTTCAGCCCCCAGTTCTACCATGTGAGTGCTCGTATTCTCTCTCACCGTTGATGATCCCTTTGGCCCGATGGTGCATGTTAAGGCAGTTGTTCGCATTGCATCTTTATCCCATGCGAGTTCAAACATCATCCACAGCGTAAAACTACGCGTGCACAGTTCCAAACTCCAGAATGAGTCTATGTTTCGAAAGGCCCCGTTCTTCCCAGGCTCCCCCACGAGAAGCCTTAGGCCTTGTCTGGAGGAGGCGATGGAAGAGAAGCTGCGACCTCCGCGTTCCTCCATACCCCGACGAGGTGATTGGCATAATCGATTGATAGACGATGACTACGATGACGCGCCACAAAGGCTTCTCATCGCACCGAACGTCCGACTGGCAATGCACCGAGAGGCCCTCCGCAGTCTCGCCGTTCTTCTCAGCAACGATGTGCGGCTGTAAGTACGTACCGCAGGTTCCGCCGTGAGTAGCGGCAGCTGTAGCACCTGCCTCTTCCCCATCTGTCAGTGATGCTTCCCTCGACCCCATAACGTCGGCGACGAACATGTTGGACCGCGCCTTTGACAAGACCCAAATTGCAGAGAAAATAAAGATTTTCCTCAGCGGACGCCGGCCGTTTCGGGAAGGTCGGGAAGGCTTGGTGTCCACTGCCGCGGCCAAGGTATCACTAAGGCATCCCGGAATGGCAAGCCGATACCTGCCGACGCGAGTTGCCGGGCCCGAGGTGCTTCGGACCTCGGTGCCTTGGTGTGTCGATCATGTCGTCCCGACAAGCACCTCGAAAATTTGGATCGTGGATTTGACACCCAGGCTCCGTCGCTCACGCAGCTGTCCCTCCCAGAATCGTCACGTAAATCCGCCCGAGAGATGCTTCGTGAACACAAGACACAGACACGAGGGAAGATGCGACGATGATCCAGGTGGCGTTTCCTTTTCGCGCCAACAAGAGTGGAGATCAGCCCATCGTCTTCAGGACGGGATGACCTAGTCACATCGGAGCGCGTCCACCGACAATGGTCTCGGAGGCTGGGCCAGAGTCTTCCGAGGCGCGTCTAGCGCCACGGGTAAGGACACTCACTTCCGACCCTCTAAATGTTTTCTTCCGTTTCGTCATTGGCCGGCGTGCTCCTCTGCAAATCTTTTGCCCTCCCTCCATAAAAACTTGGAACGCACCGCTTCTTCTCCTCTCCCATCTTCCCCCCATCCCATATCCCCACCCCCACCCAGCCTTCCCCGGCATGTACACAATCTACAATCCATACATAATTGGCGCAGTGTCGACCATGGGCGGTCTGCTCTTTGGTCTCGATATCTCGTCGGTATCGGCTTTCTTGGCCATCGACTCATACCAAGACTACTTCAATCACCCCAGCGACATCGTTCAGGGTGGTATCACCGCCGGTGTGTATTTTATCGAGTCCCTTCTGTGCTGTTAACGGAGCGGACACTGATGACACCTCTCTATCATAGCCATGCCTGGCGGTGCGTTCTTCGGCGCGAATATCGCGGGCCATGTTAGCGACCGATTCGGTCGTAAACCGTCCATCATCTTCGCGACCATTTTCTGGATCATCGGCTGTATCCTGTCCTGTGCCGCGCAAAACGTCGGCATGCTTATAGTCGGCCGTTTCGTGAAAGGTATATGCGTCGGCTGGTGCTCGAGCCAAGTACCTGTCTACCTCGCTGAACAGGCTCCTAAGGTCAGCCACCCCTCTCTGCTTCCTCTTGGTAGCTCCAGCGCGCTGATACTCTCACCATAGGCTATCCGTGGTCGCCTCGTGTCATGTCAACAATTCGCGGTCACCATCGGTATCCTCGTCATGTTCTACCTTTCCTACGGCTGCTCCTTCATCCCAGGCCCAACCTCCTTCCGCCTCGCATGGGGTCTGCAAATGATCCCCGGGTTCCTGCTCGCGGTCGGCATGCTCTTTCTTCCAGAGTCCAGCCGCTGGCTCGCCGCCCACGGGCGGTGGGACGAGGCAGAGAATGTGATCGCGCGGATTCACAATCAGCCCCTGGATGCGCCTCTCGTGGCGTACGAGATCACTGAGCTGCGCGAGGCGATGCGTCTCGAGAAGGAGGCACCCAAGGTCACCTACGGAGACATGTTCGGGAAGCGCCTGCGGTCGCGCACGATTGCGGGTATCTCGTGCCAGCTTTGGAGCCAGCTCGTGGGCATGAACGTCATGATGTACTACATCGTCGTGAGTACACTCCGCTGTGTATATGCTCCCAAGTTTGAGGTGTTGACATGCTGTTCTAGTACGTCTTCCAAATGGCGGGCCTCTCTGGCAACTCCAACCTCATATCATCCTCCATCCAAGTGAGCTATTCATTCGCCTTTACGTCAATTGACAGCGTTAATATCTCCTTTCCAATAAGTACATCATCAACTTCGTCATGACGATCCCTGCCATCCTCTTTGTCGACAAATGGGGTCGCCGCATCACGCTCCTGACGGGTTCTGCGCTCATGGCCGGCTTCTTGTTTGCCGTTGCTGGTCTGCTCGCCGCGCACGGGCACTACGTGGACTCTGTCGATGGCAATGAGAACATCCGCTGGACGATCACAGGTGCGCCCTCCAAGGGCGTCATCGCGTGCAGCTTCCTCTTCGTCGCCTCCTTCGCCGTCACCTGGGTGCGTCTTTCACTTGCGCTCTTGCCTCGTCTCGATCGGTAGCGCTGACGCTGAATTGGATGTTGTGTTGACAGGGGCCGGTCTCGTGGCTGTATATCGCCGAGATATTCCCGCTGCCCGTGCGAGCCAACGCCGCTGGGCTCGCGACGAGCACAAACTGGATCATGAACTTTGCCCTTGCATTCGTAAGCGCTCCTCCCCCTGCATTCCCGTTGCCACCCGCTCACATGCCCCCTCAATGCAGTTCGTCCCCCCCGCGTTCCGCAACATCCAATGGAAGACGTACATCGTCTTCGCCGTGTTTTGTGTCGCGTCGTGGGTGCAAGTATTCTTCACGTTCCACGAAACGAAGGGACGCGCGCTCGAGGACATCAGCGAGCTGTTCGAGTCGGGAGCGTCGCCGTTCTCGAAGCGTCGCACTGCGAAGATGTACGATTCACAAGAGAAGGCGGCGCACCACTCGACGGCGGACGTGCACCACGACAAGGACGAGGCCTAAGGCCTCAGCCCGTATTGCTTCTATTTCTTTTCCTTCTGCCTGCTCGCTATTATTTTGCTATTTTCGACGAAAAGTTCTCGTTCGCGGTTTCTCCCCTCATCTCGCACACGCATTTACCCGTTCCCCATTCTCATATCATACGACCCACCACTCCCCAACCCCTGCCTCTCGTCATCTAGCAGGTCAGCTCCCTTCCACACAATCACGACCACGCCAGATGCAGCTCTTCGGCTCATCTGCGCGCTCACCTGCGCACCTCGCTACGCGACAGCGGCGAGGCTAATTTGAACCCGTAGTATCTACTCACCTGGCGATGACGATTGAAGGATCTCTGTCGCCCACAGGATTACAGAAGTACTGAATAGTAGTGTCTCAAGTTGTATCTCGCAGTCAAAATTCAAACTTCTCATAATGTATACCATCCCTTGGCAATTTGTCGTCTGTCATTGTGCGAGGCCAAGATCGAGTGTGCAGATCTAAATTAATGGTTGGAGCAGAATGAAACGCATATAAATTGGATTATCCTAGGATTATCCTAGATTATCTCAGATTATCCTGTGCCTTTCCGCACTGTGTGCGCGTGCCTGCATTCAGTCCGTTCCGCTCGCCGGAGGTGTCTGCTCGCTGTCCAGCACGTCTATCGAATGACCCTCGGCGCCGTCGCCTTCGCCATCGCCCTCTTCTGGATCCTCCTCCACGCCATCGCCCGTCGCAGCGCCAGCACGAGTTCGGGAACCTTCCTACCCCGCCCCCTCACTTCCTCCCGACCCCGCCTCCGCAGCCACGGACGCCCCACCACCCTCTTCCACACACCCACCACCCGCCTCACGCTTTCCGCCCTTGCACTCACGCTAGAATCTACGGCTCTCAATGCCCCGCATGACACCCTCGCTGCCCGCCTCACCCGCAGACGCCATGCCCCGCTCCGCCGAGCCCTCCTTGTGTTCTATGACGCTGGGACCGCACTCGGCGCACTCGGAATGGCCGCATCACTCGCTTTGTTGGTGTGGACACTCTGGCAGCTCTCGCAGGTGCTCTTCTACGCGTCACCGGTTCCTAGTGATGTGGCGGCGCCCGCCTTGGCATCCGCTACTGCCGCACACGCGAAACGGACGTTCGAGGACGCCATCATACCCGCGAACAGTGTCATAGCAAGCGATGGCATTCAGCTGAAGCTACTCGTGAGCTCGCTTGTCGATGATACGCTCACCGCCGCTCACACCCGCACCCTATCCAGATTCCAGGCGTGACCGTCCCGCTTAGCCACCTCCTGCCTCTTCTCACTGCTCTCTTTCTCTCCCAAGCGATACATGAAGGCGGCCATGCCCTCTCTGCAGCCCTGTAAGCCATCCTCTACCTCCTCTTTGTCTTCCTCAACAACATCCACCTCTGCTTCACAGCGACTCTGTCCCCCTCAGCGCGCTCGGTGCTTCCCTCAACCTCTTTCTCCCAGCCTTCTTCGTCGCTCTCCCATCTTCCTCCCTTCAAACCCTCCCTGCGCGCCCGCGCGCCCGCATCGCAGCCGCCGGCGCGCTCCATAATCTCGCGCTCTACGTCCTGCTCATCGCACTCGCGCGGCTTGGTGTCGGCTCAGCCGCGCTTTGGACAATAGGGTACGAGAACGTAGGGGACACGGGGCGCGTGGTTGTTTCTGTCGACGAGGTGCGTCGCGTCTCCAACATCTACTTCATTCTTTGTGGTCTGACCATGCGTAGGACTCTCCGCTTGCACCCCACATCCCTCTAGGCGCGCTTATCACTGCGCTCGACGACATCCCCCTTGGTATGAGCACTGATACCAGTGCGAGCCACCTCTCCGCATATACCGCCAGCCAATATGCAGACCTATGGGATGCCTATCTCACCGCGTCTGATCACCCGCCAGGCTTTGACCCTGGCACCGACGCGGGCTGGGGCTGGTGCATACCCGAATCCTGGTTCCTCTGTACGCCGCCTTCCTCCCCTGCTCCCCTTCTTTCCCCATTTGCCTCTTTTCTCTTGACTGACACATTGCGCCAACACAGCTCAAGCATCCACCTGCTGCGCCCCACCCGCGTCCCTGTCCTTCCCCTCCCTCGTCTGCTTCGTCCCCGCTTCCGCTCGTACCCCCTCGCCCTTATCCCCCGCCTCCACATCCATTGACCCTCCTGGCTCGCACTGCCTGAACCCCGTCCCTCTCCTCCACCCCACGACCCCACGCTGCGCCCCACGCCAAAGCTCTCACCAGAGTCCACAACCCTCCACATCCCAGACATGTCCTGACCCGTCCGATATCTGCGTCCGCCCTCGCACAGACGCGTTCCTCCTCCGCATCACGCTCCTCGACACCGACCACAGCCCTCGCGCCGACTCTGACCCCAATTCCGACGCGTCCACATCCGCCTCCGCGACCGCCAAAACTATCGGCCACGAACACAGACGCGCACACGAACGTGTCGTACTCTGGCGTGGTCCCAAACTCGAAGTATGGGAACAAGGTTCGTCTGTCTTCATCCAAAATGCACCGCCACTCTACTTTCCTCGCGCAGTATGCGTGCGAGAGAGCTGCACCGACCTAGCTGCTTTCACCATTGTCTACCAAAACATTCTAATACAACTGAAACAGTGCAAGTATCCATGCTCCGCCCACGCTGGACATGGACATGGACGTTCCTCCCATTCCTTCTCACCCTCCCATCAACTACTACTACCTTTTTCTCGTAAGCACCCCCCGCATCTCTGCCTCCGTCCACCCGATAAACAATCCATCTTCCACTCCATGACTGCTCGCCCAACCTATGAAACAGGTATCTCAAAACCCTCACGCTCTCCCTCTTTCTCTTTAACCTGCTCCCCCTTCCCCGACTCGACGGCTCCCCACTGCTCGACGCTCTCTTCGAGCTCGAGCTCGGGCCGAGCCCTCGGTCCTCCGCTTTGTCTCCGTCATCATTCCGGACGCGAGATGCATCAGAGCTGGAGGAAATGGAATTGGGCTTGAGCTTTCAGCCAACGGAAGGAAGCGAGATGGGTCAAAATTTGGGGCACAAGCACGCGCCTTGGAAAGAAAGAGCAAAGAGGATCGTCCGGGGCGTCACTGCAAGTTTGGTCGGCTCGTGCGCGCTGCTTGGAATCGGGGTGGCAATGAAGACGGCGTGGACTTGATGCAGACATCAACCTTGAATATACCTTGGGAGCTGAATATACCTTGTATAGCACAATTCACAAAAATCCCCATCGTCTGCTTTCGAAATTGCTGAGAGGGAGAAGAAAAGGGAACACATAGACCCATGGATGCATGCATATTACTTTTACGCCACGACCGTAGAGGACATACGCGCCATCTCCCTCCACTTGCATCATAGTGTCAAATCGCCGCCCCCTCCAGCTGCCAACACCCGCGTGATAGATGTAAGCATAGCACCTGGCCAGCAGCGGCTCGCATCTGGGTGTCTCTACACCGCCTCACTGATTCATCCATCGTCTCATCGTAGATAGCATAAAAGGAAAAAGAGGGAAGAAAGATGAGCGGGGCGTCTATTTCTTCTTGGGCGTCTTTTTGATGTCGATGACGTTCAGACCTGAAAATTTAAGCACGTTAGCGTACAGAAAATGTCAGGGACAGTGGAGGGTGACAATGGATGCCAGGGCAAGGGAACAAGGGAGGAAATGAGACGCACCAGGAGGGAGAGACTGCTTGAGCTTCTCGGCTTTTTCTGGGTCATCAAGAGAGAGGGTGTAGAGATACCGTGAGCAGCGGATCTTGAACTTCGTCTTCTCCTTTGCGCCGGGGACGCGCGAGGCGACCTTCTTGATGCGTGCAGCTATGAGAGCGGGCATCGGCAGAAGCAGACAATCGTGCAGAGTCCAGTATCGAAGGAGAAGAAAGCAACAAGAATCAATGGAACCAGACAAGGTGGAAGGGGGGACGCAAGGGAGGAGATGGACAGTCAGTACACGGAAATTCAACAGATTAGTACATTAGCACACGCACAGGACGCATCCTTTCGCCGCGCGATGTCGATGAACTGCTTAATGTCACGAATTTCCTTGGGCTGTTTCACGCCATACTGAAATCAGTACACGGACACAGACAGGGGGATGCATGCTCGCTGCTCACCATGGTGTCGACGGGTCTTGAGGGTATACCAGGCGTGGGAATCGCGGCTCGGTCTGTCCATTGTGGCTGACGGTGGCTGAATCCAGCTGTGGCTGACCAGTGGCTGACGAGAACTGTATAGTACTGTCTCGGCCGATGCCGTGGCCGAGCCCGAGGCGCATGTGCTTCTCACGGTTCATGCCAGCCAGCGCTGAGGTCTGTGATGGGAAGGGAGCATTCGACGAATCGCCTCAGCAGTCGTTCATGGCAGTGCGCAGCCTTTCAGGTTCCTTACTGCAGAGCAGGTCTCAAAACAAATCTCACAGGGGGTGTAATTGTCACGAGTCTCTGCACCGTGTCTGCCACGGAGCCTACATCGCATGGCATTCCTGCTTCCGAAGTTCGCTGGTCCAGTAGACGCTGCCTCCGAGCCTATGCCCGAGGCCGGTCCGAATTATACTGAGGTCCGAGGACCTATGAACGCCCTCTCTCCGCATGCGCGCTCATCATGCGGCTGGCATGATGCGCGATTTGGCAGCGGCGAAGCCAAGCAACAACACCCAGGCTCGGGGTGAAGACAATAATATATTGTTTTAGGGTGATTCTTCCACAGGCCGGCCAAAACCAGTGCACCGAGGTGTTAAATGGCGTCAAGCGTCTTCATGGCTTCCAGGCTGCGAAGGGTGTCATCCCTGGCTAGCCCCTACGATCGGACGCTACATGCTTGCTACACATTCGAACGGGGAACTCTGCAAGTCACTGTGGGACACGGCCATCGGCCAGTGTTCAGCCGACCTTCCCCTCGGGCATGCTTGCATTGCGTTGTCCACTGCAACTGCCCGCTGATGGGTGGGTTATGTCAATTCGAGGCGCGGTCTCGGTCAGAGTCACACAGCCCGCTCTTTCTGCCTTTGAGATCAGCATTTGTGGGTCATCTGAGCTCCTGTCGGCCCCGGTTGGGTACAGGGTCAGGGCTAACTGTACGGCCTGAGATTTCGGCGACGGCGTTTTCGTCAGTGCGTAAAACATGGAAGATCTCACGATTCTTCCTGGTGTGCATCTTCTGAAACTTAACTCACAGTCTTCTTCGATCCTCTGCTTGTTCTTGAGGTGAACGAAGAGAAACCCCGTTTTTTCAGACCTGTGAGGTTCTCTTGCACGTCCACTCGGCCTCGGTAATTATGTATCTAACTGTTCAATCGAGATTAATTCTCATGTGATGAGATGGTCGTATTTCTTATAGGATGCCGGCAGCTTGATTAGGTCGATATACCTTGATATACTCCCATCGTCTCCCGCGACCCACCTCTTCCCCAACACTGGACTTTCGAAGTCCGTGCGCAGGGCTCCCATGTCATCCACACCTATGAAGAAGTTGCCCACTCGCCATAAGGCCATTGTCGTTGCTCGGAGCGGCTACGTTGACCTCGAGGAAGTCGACATGCCAAAGCTGGGCACGAATCAGATCCTCGTCCAAGTTGGAGCAGCCGCCCAATCCTCATGCGACTGTGCGTAGGTGTCTGGCAGTCTTACCCGATGTCCACTACTCTGCGTTAACAGGGAGATGACGGAGTTGACGGAGGACCTTTTCTCGCAGGGCAGACGATGGTATACGCAAAAAAATATGGTGCTGTCGCTGGCTGCAACTTCGCCGGCACTGTCGTACAGATCGGACCCGATGTTCCAGAAAATCAATGGACGGTGGGCGATCGAGTGGCTGGCTTCGTCCATGGAGGCGGGTGGTTCACACGATCTCCTCGCCCTCTTCGCTTTAATTACGACTGTCCGTTAGGCCTAATTTCCAATGGCTCTTTTGCCGAATACGTCGTCGCCTTCGCACACATCGCAGTCCATATCCCGTCCAGTTGGTCACTGGAGGATGCCTCGCAATTAGGCATTGCACCCTTCACCGCTTGCCAATACCTCTATCATATACACAACTTCCATATCCCCTCCGAACTCAAAGACCTCCCGGCCAAACCTGACGACGAGCGCGAGATGCTACTCGTCTACGGCGGCGCGACGTCCGTCGGACTATACACGATCCAGCTTGCCAAGCTCTCCGGCCTGCGTGTATTCGCAGCGTGTGCACCACGACACTTTGAACTCCTGCGCGATTACGGTGCTGACGAGGTATTCGACTACACGAACCCACAGGTTTCCATGCGCATCGGAATGAACACCTATGGCAAGCTGAAGTACGCTGTCGACATCGTTTCCGAGAGGCAGTCTCCATATCAGGTATCGCGATCCCTCAGTCGTGAAGGGGGCAAGGTATCAAGCTGTAAGAAGTATGCCAGTCCCCGCCCAGGGGTTGAGGTGCATTGGACGTTCCCATTCATGCTACTGCCCGAGGTGCGTCCAAAACAATCTTGCATTCATCTTGACGTTCAATTTTACTTCTCCTGCCGTTTTCTGACAGAACTGTGATTACCCTGCGCCCTATACTTCGAAAGAGGAAGAACGGGACCGGGGGCAGAAGTACGCACAACTGATTTCCAATGTCATCGCCAACGGGTCAGTCAAGCCCATTCCTGCACTTATTCTACCAGACGGATTGGCGAGCGTCGCGCAAGGACTTGAGATGATGATGGAAGGAAATGTGAGTGCTTCTTGTACACTTTCGTCGCACAGGGCGTTTTCAAGGGAGAAATGTCGACACCGTACTAGGCGTTCTGCTGACTCTATTCGATTTTTCTGGTAGACCGTGGGGACAACAGTGACATACCGGATATCTGACACGCCCGACATCAGAATCGAGGCGAAAGATGATGTATTAATGCCTCTTTAACCTCCTTTGTTACGGTGCATGCTGTGTTTGTGCGTAACCCTTCCTGATTGGTTCTCGTAACATGGTCGGTTGTATCACCTATTTATACGTGCCAGTATTTTCTCTGGAATAGATGACGTCTGCAGGTCACAAGGACCACGGGGATCGATAAAGTACACCCTTCCGCGTGTTCTTGTCCTTCGAACTTAGCAGTAAGGTCGTCGTTGAACGTTATCAGTCTTGGCCTCATCGGCGTTCAGCGTCGGGATTTGCAAGGCCTTGCTTCTTTGCTTCATGAATGCCACTCCCCTGGGGTGACTCTCGGCGATGATATTATTTGACGTACGTCTTGACCTGAAGTGGAAAAAATCTGAGTCGATAAGCATCCTCTGACGGCTGGTGGGACAGTTTCTGATCACCTCAAGCCTCCCCCGAGAGCGACGAGTTTCTCCACGAACTTTAACCATGAATCCACGACTCTTCGAACTTCTTCGGGCGCGCTTCGGCTATTTCCATGCACGAGCCCTGAGTTTGACCTGTGAGCTCGTGAGCCGTATGTGGAAATATCTATCAACGAGCCCGAATGATAGACCGGACGCGGTCCTAGGCGCTCCAGTAAACCCAAGTCGCCGGCGTCGCCCATAGCCGGAACCGTAGCCTAAGTTCTTTGATTATATAACCCATACCACAGCCCTCCAGTCAACACTTGGAGCTTGATGCACATGGGAGCTGACAAACCTTTAGCAAGCCTGATAGGAGAGACACAACCAATCGATTCGTCACCGACTATTAATCAGTTTGCTGAGGAAAAAAAGCCCATGGAGGTATGTGCCCGAGGCTTTCTGTGACCGCGGCGGCAGGATCATTGGCTTCCCTACTACATCTACTGCTATCGGCTCTACTGCGTCTACTGCTACTAGCACCGATGACAAGTTCAAGCATAGGACATGATCTCAGACGGCCTCGGCAGATGCTCCACCGACCCTGCGACTTCCATGACTGACCCGGGCTTTGACTGTATGGCGACAGTCAGCTGCCTGCCTATTGGGAGCGTGCCCGTAGCGTCTCTGGGACAGTATAAATGCGAAGCCAGACCCTGTCTTAAGCTAAGCCAAACTAGCACTGTCCTCCTTCGTCGCTCCTCTTCTTGTCAGACAACATGGTACCACCCACTCAGAAAGCCATCGTCGTCACCGGGGACGGCATTGTGCTTCGCGATGCGGCTGTCCCTAAGCCAGGACCTGACGATATCTAGGTTAAGGTCACTGCTGCCGCTCAGAACCCAACTGATTGTGAGCACTAACTCAGTTTTGACCTCTCCATGACACTCATATTCACTCTCAATATAGGGAAGACTGCTGAGTATGGCAAGAGAGTCGGAGCCATCTCTGGTTGTGATTTTGTTGGAATCGTTGTAGAGATAGGTCTTAAGGTCCCCGCTAACGTGCGAAGCATCGGCGAACGCGTCGCTGGATTCGTCCATGGAGGTAAGGTGACTCTCACAGCATCCCATTAATACCGTCCTATCGTCAAAAAAGAGTCTGACACGCTGCTTTTCCTTAATAGGCCTCTATCCCAACGGCTCATTCTCCGAATACTTGTCAGTTCCCTCTGAAGTCGTCGTTCGGGTGCCGGATGACTGGTCCGATGAGGACGCTGCTCAGCTGGGAATCGCACCATTCACGGCAGCACAAACGCTTTGGTCGTCTCAAGAGAACTTCCCCACTCCGTTTGCGCCGGGCACTGACTCCACTCCACTCCTCGTCTCTTCCGGGGCGTCTTCCGTCGGACAATATGTCATTCAATTCGCCAAGCTTTCCGGATTCAAAGTCATCACGTTTGCATCCCCGAAGAATTTTGAGCTGGTGCGCTCTCTTGGCGCGGACGAGGTTTTCGACTACAAAGACCCAGATGCATCGAAAAAGGTGAAGGAAATCACGAACGGCCAACTGAAGTTTGCCGTGGACACAATCAGCGAAAAACAGACCCCGCAGCAGCTTGCCGATGCACTCAGCGACGAGGGAGGTGTGGTATCTGTGATCCTGCCCTGCAAGACGGTGAGGGATAACGTCAAGGTCGTGCACAGCCTTGCGTACGATCTTTTAGGCAAGGTGAGGATTGCATTGATCTTCATTTTGATATTGGCTCATATGGCGGGCGCCCGGATGCAGGACTTCAATTTCCCTCAGGTATTTAAAGCCAATGAGGTCGAAACTGCTAGAGGGAAGGAGTATGCAAGGCTGATCACCAACCTTCTGGCCACCGGGAAGGTCAGACCAAATGCGACGACGGTCCTGCCGAAAGGCCTTGCCAGTGTACCGGAAGGCATGCAGTACATGCGGGATGGAAAAGTGAGCGATTTCAGTACCCAGAGCCCGTCTCGCGCTGATAAACGTGTCCCCAGGTCAGTGGAGAAAAAATCACTTATAGAATTTCCGATACTCCCAACTAAACGCGCCCGTGTCAGCTGTTCATCGTTGAATGATCAGTCAACAAACATTCCCATCTGACCATTGGGAGCTTGTGAGGTGTTAGCACACCGGCGTCATAGTTATCGAGGAATGTAGCCTGTGAATTGTATAATAGACTTTCTCCAAGCTAAGTGCTTAGATTAGTCAACGCAGCGGTTCGTAGAGGTTCTATGTCTTTGGTCAATATGATGACCGCCAAAAAGATGAACTGAGGAGTAAAGAACAGTTACCCAGCGAGTGGTAAACATTTGGCAATTTCCGAAACCCAGAGAGAACGCTGACGCACCAAAGTATCGCATTCGCCGGTCAATCACTTACTGAGGTTGGGATCGCCGTCCCCGGAAACACATGCTCAGCAGTGGGTACTCTGTGGAGACATCGAAGCACTACCTGACAAGACAAAGCAATTTGTTCTCTTATATTATCTTGTATGCCTACTGGGTTGCTGTACTATACGATGGTCATAAGAGGCTGTCTAGAGCGCTTCTGACTCTCACTTCTTGAAGTTATACCCCGTCTGGACGCTTTTATACATACATAAATTATTTCGCTTTCCTGTTTGTATGCTCACAACCTCGGAGTGTCCGCAATTCTGTACGTGATCTTCTGCGCGCTAACCTGATTACGAGTGTTAACAGTGGCGGTATTTATCAGCATGATATTCTCGTCTTCAACACAATGCAGCTTACCTTTCCGGTTTTCTGGTACTCAAAGCCCTGAGCAACGCTCGCTAATCCCTGAGGCAGGATCAATGTCGCGTTGGGCTTGATCTTTCCAGTATCAATGATCTGTTGAAGGAGTTGTGTAAACTTCTTTCCCCTATCCCTATCTTCGTCTGTCTTAGGCGACCACGGGAATGGAAAGTCATAGCTCTACTTGTCTCTTCAACTTCGATCCATGGACAGAAAAGTCGTAGACGTTACGGACCTTTCCAAGCAAGTCATAGGCGAGGGTGAGATTGATGCTGACCTCCGGTCTCGGGCTCTTGTAGAACAACAGCGCCGCAACACGCCCGCCGTCGTCACTCAGAGCCTCTGAAATCTGGCGGGGCGTATCATTCTCCGAGATGGTGTCAACGGCGTGCGCCAGCTTGCCTCCAGTGGCAAGCTTGATCTTCTTTGATACCTCAGGATCGTTATAGTCGAATACCTCGTCCGCGCCCAACGACTTAACCAGGTCGAAGTTCTTCGGGGACACGGTGACAATCACGTGGAGGCCGGCCAACTTCGCAAATTGGATGACATACTGTCCGACAGAGGTTGCACCCCCCCAGATAAGCAACGGAGTCGGGGTGGAAGTGGGCGCGAGGGGCGTGGCGAAACTGTGGGACTGATATAGGCATTGGACCGCCGTGTAAGGGCCAACGCCGAGCTGGGCAGCGTCCTCGAATGACCAGCTATCAGGGATGTGGAGAACGCGCTCAGCATCAACAACGAGATACTCGGCAAAGGCTCCATTAGGATAGACGCCTAAAAGAACAGACACAAAGATTGTTCGGAAATGTCTCAAAGATGGACAAAAAAATGAAAACACCTTACCTCCATGAACGATCCCAGCGACACGATCGCCCACACTTCTCAAGCTCGCTGGCACATCGGAACTCAATTCTTCGATGACTCCAGAGAAGTCGCACCCTGAGACAGAGCCGTATCGCTTGCCCCACAGAGCTGTCTTCCCTGGGAGAAATGAACATCAAACATAAGACTACATGGATTTCTCGATTTTCAAAAATCGAGATACTCACAGTCGGTAGGATTCTGAGCAGCAGCGACAACCTTCACCAGGATTTGACCTGGACCAAGTTTGGGAACATCAACCTCCTTCACAACGGTAGAACCACCCTCTGCTACGACAGCTGTCAAATGCTTGCTAGGGGCCATGGAGGATGTGAGACTGAATTATGATCGACAAGGTGGCTCGGTGGGGGATACTTAATTGAGAGGCCACCGATGGCTGCCTTTTTATCATGATGGCGGGCACGACATCGATTATCTGCATGATGTATCCACATGGGCCTGGGAGTCAATTTTCAGGCATTACCGAGCAGAACGGGCACCCACACTGCGCCCGCTTAGCAGAAGCCGCTCCATGTTGACCTCGAGGTCACGATACGGCTGGAGCAAAATCCATATTGCCAAGAAATGAAATGCGATGGGTTGGACACCCTTGGATACCGACGCTAGACAAGTGCTAGACAGCGCAAGACGTGCTCATATATTCCAATCGAAACGTATGATGACATTATCTCTTGGGGAGCTTGGGATGATGAGAGAATCATGAGTAGTCATGAGTAGGACCCCCGAAAGCCACCTACGAGGTGTCTTCCTGGGACGGTGAGTACTATCCCTGGACCCCAGTGAGAATCCCTCCACTAGGGTGCTGTGTAGAACTCCTAGTTTTTAACCGGGTTAATAACAGATGTTAATAATGCGTTATTAACAGATGCTTATCAAACCCCTTGGTTTTGAAGGTTAATAACTAATTTCCTAAAATAGCGATGTATCTTGAATTTGCTATTATTTAGTGCAATCTCTAAGTTACAGCTGTTTCTAAATGACTGTTAAACCTTTATAAACTAAACCTAAATGCACTAGAGAGGTACAGATGGCCAGAGCACAAATAGGGTGATTTGAGTGAGCAGTTGCCTTCCCTTATAGTGGAACCAGAGAAAAGATTAGGGAGGTTAGGCTAGGACATCAGGAATCTAACTGCTGAGACCTAGCAAAGCTAGGTCCACTAGAGCTAGAAATGTCTAGGGATAGCTAGTGATGACTCAATATCTCAGTGTCAGTCTGTGTAGATAATCCAAGCTTGATCCTTTCCAAAATAGGATAGTGACTCTAGTTAAGTCTTATAAGGTAAGGCAGATGTCCTGAGAGACATCACTATCTATAACCAGAGATAGTTCTAGGATTATTAGTTCTCTTGTAAGACAATAGTGAGCACAATGAAAAGCATGGAATATCTTGCTTATCACTACTCTTTACTTAATCTAATGTTTTTAAAAGAAAAGGGTAAAACCATGATGATATCAGTTATTACAAACTATACTAAAGTACACTATAGGATCAAAGGCCCTCTGCATAAGAGTACAGGGCCTGCAATAGAAAGAACCAGCTATGCTTCAAAGAAGCAGTCTAAGAGCCACATAACCAACAGGAGAGTATAGGCAAAAACAGTGCTAGAATAATAGATCTATATATATCTTGAATAAGTGCAGGTAGAGAAGGTGATCAGTAGTAGTGGCAAACAGGATGGGCCTGCACTTATCTTGTATAAGCATAGGCAAATACAGTAGGCAAAGAACAGACCTGTGCTTGTCTTGAACAAGTGCAGGCAGAGGTGGTAGTAGTGGCAGCAAGATAAGGTGAGACAAGGTGAGGCAAGGTGAGGCCATGCTTGTCTTGTATAAGAGTGGGAAAAGATAGTAGGCAGTGGCACTTGCAAGATAGACAAGACAAGAAGAGGCCATACTTATCTTGTACAAGCATGGGCAGTAATAGTGGATGGCAAGGGCAATAGCAGCAAGATAAGGTGAAGTGAGGCTGCTCTTGTCTTATATAAGAGCAGATAGAGATGGTGGGTAGTGACACTAACAAGACAAGACAAGACAAAATAAGGTAGTGATTGTTATGGATAAGCATGAGTGGAGGTTATGCTAGATAGTACCAATCCATACATAGAGGGCGACACTGGAAAATTGTGGCACTTAAGCAATGGCTATGCTTGCATAGGCCATGTAAGAAACCACATGAGACCACTGTCCCATAGGCTTCAGGAGACAAAACAGAGTGTGTCGGAGTTTGAAATAGAGTTGGTCAGCGCACATGTGCTTGGGGCTGACCTAACCATAGGGAATTCTCTTTCCCTAGTACTATCTTGCAGTGATTTCTTTAGGTAAACTATAAGGGGGCATTTAGCAAGTGCTTAGCTTGGCAACTACTCTGGGCTCTTGGTTTTGTTTGCAGGTATTTTTTTCATATAAATAAATAATAAATAGAAGGGGACAATAAGAAATAGTGGCACTGGGCTAATAGCTCAAGTCATATGTCCTTGCTTACACTTATGTAGGCTACATAAGACACCATGTGAGCAAAGCAAGCATCCATGACAAATAGGGTAAGCAGAGTGAGCCATGTCTTGGTGCTCCTAGTAATCCTAGCAACTAGAATGGGCTATGCCTCTGCAGCCATTGGAGCTTGAAATGGCATCCTAGCACCTCACAGGGGACCTCACAAGAGAGCCTTATGGGTGGGACCTTGATGGGGGAGCCTCATAAGGCAGAATATTATAGGGGAATCTAATGGATGGGACCTTATAGAGAGCTTTATATGGGAATTTTACAAGAAGGACCTTATAGGATATAATAGAAGATCCATATAGGGATATTGGGGCACAGGAATTTATGGGCACTGAACTTTATAGGCACTGGACTTTACAGGCACTGGACTTTATAGGCACTGGACTTTATAGGCACTAGACTTTACAGACACATCAGACCAAGCACTACAACAAAAGCTCAGATTAAGCATGGTTGTGCTATTGCAATGCGATGAGTAAGAAGCTAGTAGCAAGATAAGATGAGATATGCTAAGATAAGATGTGCCCATGCTTATACAAGATGAGTATGGGCAGAGGTAGTGCTGGACAGTGGCAGCAGTGATAGGGAGAGCAAGCAGAGGGATAACAATATATGATATGGCAGTGGTATGTGCTATTGCCATATTGATGCATTGTTGTGCACTACTCTGCCTCTTGCTCTCACTGCTATGCACTACTCATAGTCTTATATAGAACAAGTGAAGGCTTATTGCCTACCTGTGGCTGCATACTGGCTACACCTATATCCATACACTGCTGCTATCAATCTCCACTTGTACTTGCACAAGACAATAATAAGCATGTCACCTCTCTAAGTACTAAGGCCCTTATTTTTGTACCTTTTTCATTGATGATCACTTAGTTTATAGCACATTTGTAGCCCTTAAATGGGACTTCATCAATGGTCAGCTACACCCTGTTAGGCTTGGTGCACAACTTGTAGCCTTGTGCAAATAGTTTTATAGCACCTTATATGAGAGTGTTTATAATTGCGGCCTAATGTCATCATTTATTGCTATTTGTGTAGTGGTGCCTCATGGCATGTGTAAAGCCCTCATGTGTAGCATAACCACTTGGAAAAGCACTCTCGATGATGCCAAGACTGCCAAGTCCTAATTGTATGTACCATGTATTATCACATGCAGGCATATTAAAGTCTAGCTCTGTAGTCTTCTATTTATAGCATGCTTTATTGTGCATGCTTATTAGACATTGCAAGTCTCATAATCCCTTTCTCTTTATACTTTATAGAGACTCCCTTGCTACTCCTTATACTATTTTACTAAGCATCACTTACTTCCTCAACTGTGGCATAACAGAACCTTGCAGTCTACAAGCAAAGCTGCAAAGCAAAGCTGCACATAGTCAAGTTTATCTTTTGAATTCTCAAGTCTTGGTGTGGTATTACATGCACTTTACCTTATAATTTTGCATACAATCTGCTTACTTAGTAAGGCCTATATACAAGAGCATGCAAAGTCCCTATTCTAATTTCAATTTTATCTGTCATCTTCATAGTTATTTTATTGTGAAATTAAGAGCCAATTTATTGGAAGGAACAGAATAAATACTCTGAGTATAGTCACTATTAGTATGGTCTATAGAGACTGTCTAGATGAGGAATTCTCTCAAGATTGTCTAGAAGATAGGCATCTTCCAAGACATCTCTAGAAGTGAAGTCTAAAACAAGCAAAGGGTGATCTAGTGATGACTAGAAAGGCACCACTAGCTATAAGTCATATCTAGTGAGCACTCTGAAACCTGTTATAAACTGCTTATTTAAAAACCCCAAGAGTAGGAGGTTCTTCACTAGGTCACTCAATGAGGAAGAATAGATGAAGGTCTCAACTATATGTATAGCATAAAAGTTGATGATATTGCAGATGAAGATAGTGATGGTCACTATCTGTAGCTGATGGGTACTATAAGAAGATAGTACAAAACAAAAGAGAACAGACTAAAGATCCTTAGCCTATTCTATAGGCCTTTTATACTACTTTGGAAAGGGCATGAGAATCCTATATATGTATCCTCTAGGTATTCTCTAAGCTGCTACTCTTTCTTAACAACTACTCTTTGTTCTGTACTTGTCTCCTTCCAACAAGAAGGACAAGGAGCTCTGTTTCCTGTGAGTTAATATATATAAGCCCATATTGGCCATCTGAAGTATAGCCTATGATACTTGACTAGTAATAGGTGTGTCTGCTGGGAGTAGATGACCAAGGATATTACCTATATCTTAGTGTATACCTCATATAGTGAGGCTGCCTAGTATTTGTGATTATTATTATTGGAATAGACTACTATAAAGGCCTGATAAGCATGATCATAATAAAACCAGGGTCTTACTTTTGGCCTCTAGTGGTCTAGTGCAGCTGTACAGACTATTCAAGCTACTATATGGACTTTTGATAGACACCCAACTCCACAACTACTTACTCGAATTATCTCATTTGTGCTCTAGCCATCCAAGCCTTTCTAATTCATTTATGTTTAGTTTCCATATGTATACATATATAACTGAGTAAGCTATAAGCTATCATTTTGTTGGCCTATTTTCATGATTTTATATTCATTTTCCCATGCTCACAATATGTACTTATTAATACCTCCTAGTTGATAACCAGTTAAAAAGTCCTATAGAGTTCTACATAGCACCTTATCCTTTATGGCTAAGAGGACAAGGTTGGAAACTTTACACAAAAATGTGACTAGGTAGGAGCTAGTAGGAAAAAATATATCTGGCTATCGAAACCTTCTCAAACATTTGAGAAACTGA